AACTTTTGCCTCCTCTGCTTGGGCCCATGACCTGGAGCTTAACACATGACCACAGTGGCCCCCGCTCAGCTGCAGCCCATGAGACGGACCCCAGCTCCTGCCCCACATCTTCCCAACACTGAGTGAGCTTTGGTGTTCCTTCCCAGCATCAGAGGGAGGCTCACTCAGAGCCCCTCACCCCACCGTCTTTATCTCTGCGTCTTGTGGGCACTCAGAATCCACTAACTGGGAGCTGGAGTCATAGCACAGTGGGGAGGGCATCTGCCTTGCACACGGCCAACCCAGGTTGGATTCCCAGCATCCCATACGGTCCCCCAAGCACCGCCAGGAGTGATTCCTGAGTGCAGAGGCAGTAGGAAGCCCCAGAGCATCACCGGGTGTGACCCAAAAAGAAAACAAAAATAAAAGAATCCACTAACTTGCTCACCCAGGTATAAGCCCCCCCATATTCGGGGAAGGGAGATCGGGGCTATCCCTGGGGGTATCCACACCCCACCCTGCTTAGGGGGGACCATACAGGCCAGGAATGAACCCGGGGGTTCCCCGTGTAAAGCCTCTGCGCCGGCGCCCTGCACCCCAGGACACCCTCACTCACAACCACCCGCCCCTGCTCACGGGGGTGCAAGGCAGGCCGCGTGGGCCCTGCAGCCTCACCCAGTGGAACGCTTTGCTGGGCTCGAGAAGCCTGGGGTGGGGGAGGACGGCCGGAACCCCCTCCAACCTCCCACTCGGGGAATCCCTGCAGCAGCTTTTGTGGCTTATGAATAGCTTCTCTCTGGATTTAAACCGTTCCCCAAAATAAAAGTTGGGTGGGCGCCCCAGGGAGGGGCTGGAGAGCTGCCGTTCCCAGGAATGTGGAGGCGGGCAAGCTTTTCCCCGGAACACAGTGGGATTTGGCTGGGCCCCGCGCAGATCCTCGGCATGTCTCCCCTCCCTGCACCCACACGGGGCACCCGCCCCGCCCCCACGCACGCCCGGGCCAAATGCCGCCTTCGCCTGCTCCAGGGCCCCGGAGAGGCTCGGTGCCATAAAGCAGTTCGGTCCTGCGTCCAAACCCAGGTGCTGCCCATGTTTGCCGAGGTGACCACGAAAACCTGGAGTCCGGGATCCTGGGTGGAGGGGGGGTCATCACTTTTTTGTCTGTGTGTGTGTGTGTGTATATGAGTGTGTGTGTGTCTGTATCTGTGTCTGTATCTCTGTGTGTGTCTCTGTCTGTATGTGTGTCTGTGTGTATCTGTCTGTGTGTGTCTCTGTGTATATCTCTGTGTGTCTCTGTGTGTCTGTGTGTCTGTGTGTTGACCAGAGGTGGGGGCTTCACCTGGTGGTGCCAGGGAGACCTAGGGGGCCAGGGGCCCACCCCCAGCCCAGCACCCCACCCTTGCACTGTCTCTGTGGCCCCGAGTTCACTCACCGGCACCCTCTGAGGCGGTTCTCCCCCAGCAGAAAGGTTCCGGAGAGGGAGAGACGCCTCCCTGGACTCCCGCAGACCCGTCCCCCAAGGAAAACTTTTCCAGGTGGTTTTGGGTCCATCAGGCCTTTATCTGGTGGAACTTTCTTGGGGCCTCCAGGTGTGGCATGAATCATTCCGTTAAGCACAGTAGGGTGAGGAGGTGGGGTTGGGGCCACAGTGAGTGTACAGCGGGGGGGGGGGCGTTTGCCTTACAGCTGAGCTGGGTTCGATCCCCAGCATCCCATATGGTCTCCCAAGCACGACCAGGAGTGATTCCTGAGTGTAGAGTCAGGAATAACCCCTGAGCACCGCTGGGTGTGGCCCCCAAAAGCCAAAATAAAAAACCAAGAGGGGCTGGAACGATAACATGGCAGGTAGGGCATTTGCCTTGCACGCGGCCGAACCGGATTCGAGTCCCAACATCCCATATGGTGCCCGAGCACCACCAGGAGTAATTCCAGAGTGCATGAGCCAGGAGGGAGTAACCCCTGTGCATCTCCAGGTGTGACCCAAAAAGCAAAAAAAAAAAAAAAAAACGGTGTGTGTGTGTGTGTGTGTGTGTGTGTGTGTGTGTGTGTGAGATCAGCCCAGAACCTGCAGACTGTCTTCCAGGAACCCAGTTCCTCTGCGACCTCTTCCTCGATTCTCTCGCCCTTTGACTCCTGCCCTTGCCAGGACCCCGTGTGGCTTGGATGGGGGTCCCACACCCCCACGCCCCCTACCCCGGGTCACCCGTTCAAACAGTGGCTCCAAGTACCCCTCCAATCATTCCCACTTGCCTTATTTTTGCCGTGGAAATAAGGGTCTAGCAGACCCATCTGAAATGCAATTCTGCATTCTGATTGCTTCTGCCCCGCTGTCCCCGAGGTGACTTCCAGCCTCTATCTCTTTGTGGCGCATCTCCCTCCCCCACCCCCGACACACACACACACACACACCACGCCCATCGTACTTGGGTCTGAGCGCACCTTCTAATAGCCGCGATTAGAGAGCCCCGCGCACCGATGGAGCGTCTTGCCTCCGAGGCGCGTAAACGGCTTTATGATTCCACTGGCCATCATTCATCTTCATAAGCTGCCGCGGAGAGGTGTGTATGTGTGAGAAATTAATAATCACACTTTAAAGATGGCGAAATGAAAACTCGGGAAGATGAAGTGCCGCCGTCTTCCTGTGAGAAGCGCGTTCTTCCTCCTGCCAGGACATCAGCACTGCCGGGTCCTGCCCCAGACCGGTGTGCCTGGAGGAGTGGCCCGTGGCGGACCCTGGGGTCCAGCCCTGGGAGGAGCGGCCGGCAGGGGGGGGGGGGGGGGGGGGCGGGGGTACTGTGCGTGCCCAGCCTGGCCGCGCTCTTCCCTTCTCAAGCCTTGGGGCGGCTGTTTGGGCGCGTTCGTCTCTGCCTGTCTGGACAGATGCTCCACACACATCTGTAGTATCCTCTGCAGCGCAGCCAGGGGATGTGAAGATTTGGGGGAAAGCCCATTCCAGGAAGCTGCCCTCTCTGGGGCCACCACGCTCTGTCCCTCACGCCACCTCCTCTGGCCCCCAGGAGCTGGGTGCTCAGCGGGCAGCCACCCGGCCACGCCGGGCAACTACGAGCACGAGGCCACCCTGTCCCCTCATGACGTCCTAACATCCCCAGAAGGCCCCACTTGCTACTGGCTCCAAGCAGCGGCGGCTGTTCCTCGCAGGGAGCGGGGCTCGGCCGCCAGGGAGCTGGAAGGGAAACAGTTTCTCCTCCCCGAGGCGCTCAAGCCGTCTGACGCTCCGTGGGCGCTGCCAGGGTTTTCTGGCACCTTTTGGGATACGAGGAGGAGAGGCTGCTGTCGGGTGGTCGGGGGGTGGGTGCAGCACCTGGTAGGGGGGCTGAGTCAGTCCCAGAACCTGGGTGCCTCGGGGTGCCACCCCCCCATCCCAGAGACCATTTCCCCAAGGCCCCCAGTCCCGCCTGCTTCGGAGTCAAACTGAAGCCACACGGGACTAGTGTCTCAGCGTGGCTCTTGCCATAGGAGGGGCCATGCCAGCAGAGGCCAGGGACAGCGGGCAACCCTGGTGCGCTTGGCATTGGGATATAGCTGCGACCTGCCGGCCCTGCACTCGGTTGGACCAGGGCCTAACCTGTTCCCCAGTCCCTGGCCCTCTCACGTGCCGGGTGCCAGCGGTCAGCATCACGCAGAAACTCTGCAGTGGGGAGGGAGGGAAGGGCAGTCACGGGAGCAGATTCTACCAGAGGGACCCCCTTACCACCACCACCCATAGGTGGGTTCCTCCAGGTGCTCTGTACCCCCAAACCAGCTCCTCTTGTGCAGACAAGTGCCCAGCACAGAGGACAATTTGAGACTGGGCTGGTGGGCTTCCAGGAGCTCAGAACCTTCTAGACAAGGGGCGAGAGAGAGAGAGAGAGAAAGAGAGAGAGAGAGAGAGAGAGAGAGAGAGTACAGTGGGTAGGGAACTTATCCTGCATGCATCCAACCTGGGTTTCATCCCTGGCACCCCACCTGGTCCTCCGAGGCAGCCAGGAGTGATCCCTGAGCACAGAACCAGGAGTACATCTGGGTGTGTCCCTCCAGGAGCACTGCTGGGTGTGTCCCCCCAAACAAACAAACATACTAAGAGCCTTCCAGCTGAGTTCCACAGTGACCAGGCATCTTACAGGGTTATGGCCCAAGGGTCTGTGGTACCCCAAGGATCACTGGGTGCCCAGGAGAGATACCACAGGAGTGTCTCAGGTGCCAGGCTAAGGGCGACAGACGGCGACCCTGACCCTTCCCAAGGGCCGGCCAGTCAGGGAGCCCTGGCCTGGAGTGTCTGTCTCATCCCTGCATGGGGCGCCATTCAGGCATTTCACTGTCTGTCCCCTTCCTGGAGCCACGTTTTTCAAAAAACGTGAATGGTTCATTTCTCTTAACTTCGGCCCCAATTTCCTGCAGAAGGTGCCTCTGCAGAGCCAGGGCAGGCCCCAAAGGGGTGAGCAGACCCTTTTCTCTAGCCGGGATTACCGAGGGCCTGTGGATTTGGAGGTCGGGGGGATCTCCTTCCGAGAGGCCACCTTGCCCCCTTAGTCTGGGCTGTGAGGGCACGTGGCCCCCACCATCGGAAAGGGTTCTCCCTGGGTGGCCTTGGGCTGGTGGTGGTAAGGGGGTCCCTCTGGTGTCGGTGGCCTTGGGCTGGCGTCCTCCCATCAGAGAACCTTCTGGAAGGGTGGGCAGTGAACGTCCCCGTACCAGGGAAAGGCACAGCGCTGCTTCCTTGGTGGGGGGTCGTGGGCATGAAGGCTGCGGGGTCCCAGCCCCAACTTCCCACGGGGGCCGCCGGTTCCTAGACTGAAAGCCATGCCCGCACCTCAGAGCTATCCTGCAGTGGAGCATGACACCGAGTGGTGCCTCCCAATCGCCCTCCGGACCAACCTCCAAGTCTAAGACAGCTGGGCCAGCTCCCTGATCTCTCGGCGGGGTCCAGGGTGTGCCCCCGTGGGCTGGTCACGGCCCCTTGGGTTTGACAGCCGCGCTCTCTGGGTCCCGCGTCCAACCCGCTGCCCGCCTTCCCTTTGCAGGGCCCCCGAGATCATCCTGGGCCTGCCCTTCTGCGAGGCCATCGACATGTGGTCGCTGGGCTGTGTCATTGCCGAGCTGTTCCTGGGCTGGCCGCTCTACCCTGGCGCCTCCGAGTACGACCAGGTGGGTCCGGGGGCGTTTCTGGGGCGGGCAGGCGTCTTCCCCAGCCTCGCTCCCCATCACTGGCTTCTTTTTTTTTTTTCTTTCTCTTTCCTTTCCCTTTTCTCCCTGGGAGTTGTGTTTATTATTTTGCTTCTCTCTATCCCTACCAAGCCGCTGCCTCCCTTCCTCCCCCCAGTGCCAGCAGCGCCCTGACCGCCCCCCCTCTCCTTGCAGATCCGCTACATCTCACAAACGCAGGGCCTGCCGGCAGAATATTTATTAAGCGCTGGGACAAAGACAACCAGGTTCTTCAACCGTGACACCGACTCTCCGTACCCTTTGTGGAGGTTGAAGGTAGGCAGACACCCCGTCTCCCCCAGGGGTCTGGGGTGCTGTGGACACACGCATCCCTGGCCGGGGAGAATGGTGGTGTCGAGGGCTGACAGGGGAGGGGAGGGAGGGAGACAGTCCAGAAGCGCCTCCCCCCCCGCTTCCCCCGGGTGGTCCGCAGCTGCCTGCGACCTTCTGGGGTCTCGGCTTGATTGCTGAGACTGTCCTGGATTCTTTGTCTTAAGGCAGGGGTTGGAGGTGGGGGTGAGGTGCAAGGCGTGAGGACCCTCAGGAGCCCACCCAGGGCAGCCCCCACCCTCACGGGAGCTCACGGGATAAAGAAGAGGGTGAGTTTGCGGGGAGTGAGATTTCTGAAACTTTTCCCGTTCTCAATCCCTTTGATTTTATTGGATTTTTTTTTTTTTGGGTTTTGGTTTTTGCAGGGTGAGGGCAGGGGGAGGGACCACACCCAGCAGTGCTCAGGGCTTACTCCTGGCTCTGCTCAGGGATCGCTCAGGGGATGCTGGGGGTTGAACCCAGGTTGGCGGCAAGCAAGGCAAGCGCCCCTGCCCCCACCCCCGCGGGACTATCACAACCCCTTTTAGCCTGAGAAATTTTTACGTAGCTCCAGATATAGAAGTGCAGAAACCAAACATTTACTGATGATACACCCCAAAAGAAATTTATCATAAACAGTTTGTTTTTTGTTTCGGGGTAACACCTGGCAATGCTCAGGGGTCACTCCTGGTTCTGCAGTCAGGAATAACCCCTGGCGGTGCTCAGGGGACCATATGGGATACTGGGGATCGAACCCGGGTCAGCCGCATGCAAGGCAAATGCCCCACCTGCTGTGCTATCGCTCCAGCCCCCATAAAACAATTGTTTCAGACCCTCACCCCCCGCCTAGGGGATATGACTCCCCCAGCGTGGAGCATGAAGTATGTGCCACCTGCAGGGCATTGAGGTTTTCCTGAAGGACATCCCAGAGCTCATCGTCCCCAACAGGGCAGGGGGAGGACAGATGGCCAGTAGTGTCCATCCCTGAGACTCCCCCCCAGAACTGAGTCTGCCAAGGGCTCAGGGTTGGGGGCTGGGAAGGGGCCTTGGTGACGGGAGTGGGCGGGACCTGGGAACATTGATGCCTATAACCGGAAGTAGAGTTCGTGAGAAGCAGCAGCAGCTGGAGGGTCAGACCCCCCAGGACCCCACAGTGGTCCTCACACCCCCGCTCCTTGTCCTCCTTCTGCCAGACCCCGGATGACCATGAGGCCGAGACGGGGATCAAGTCGAAAGAGGCACGGAAGTACATCTTCAACTGTTTGGACGACATGGCCCAGGTAAGCTGTGCGGTCGGAGTCCCCAGCCAGCCCTGTAAGCCCAACCCAGAGCATTTTCGCAGGAGCAGCCCCAGCCACATCTCTGGGGTCCTGGCTCGTACTTCAGCCTTCAGCTTCATCCAGCCAGCCCCAGCTCGGGGGTACCCGTCTGCCAAAAGGGGCCCATCCCGCTCCCCGGGGTTTTCCAGAAAACAGTGAATTAAGACATTTAGGTTCGGGCCTGGAGCAATAGCACAGTGGGTAGGGCGTTTGCCTTGCTCGCGACCAACCGGGGTTCGATTCCCAGCATCCCATACGGTCCCCTGAGCACTGCCAGGAGTCATTCCTGACTGCATGAACCAGGAGTAACCCCTATGCATTGTTGGTGTGACCGAAAAAAAAGACATTTGTGTTCACCGTCCACCACTGAGTGAGCCTGTGTCCTCGGCCGCTGTGCCGAGTGCTGAGAACTGGGGGTGTGGAAACAACCATCTGTTTTCACCAAACCCCAGTGCCGAAACCAAGGCCCCAGTGTCCCCACAGCCTCCATCCATGGCCTTCAGGCCTTGTCCCCTCTTGTCTTGGTAGCTGGCCCTCTCGTCCTTCTCATCTGAAGACACCACTTGGTATTTTGGGTTCTGTGCTATTGCAACATGATTTAGCCTCATCACGCCTGCCAAGGCCCCGTTTCCAAACAAGCTCCCTTTTGGACGGGTCCCGGGAGGGCCAGATAGCCATCCCATTGCATGCCAATCTCTCAACTCCCTGGAGGCAACCGTGGGCTTTGACCTCTGTGCCCAGAGAAAATTCTGGACCGCCAACTGTTTTCACAGTGAAAGGTGCAAAGTGAGGTTTTCGTGAAAGCCACGAGAAATCCAACTCGAGAGTAGTACACTACTTAAGGGTCCTTCGTGGCCCATTGCTGAGCATAACCCAAAATAATTGTTCTGTGTAAAAGTTTACCTGTCAGTTGATGAGAAGCTTCTCTGCAGAGAGCTGAAACCACTCTCCAAAGCACGTCTTGGGAGAGACACAAGTCACTCCACAGCAAACCTTTTCAAAGCTTTTCTTGCGGCTGTGTCCAGTGACCCGTGTCCCTTGGCCAGGGCTGGTTCCCGAGAGCACGGAGGCTGAGATGACCCGACCCTCCGGTGGGCAGTTTCTCCTGCTCGGCTGTGGGCCTCTGAGATTGTGGCCGGGCGTACAAGCCACGGGACTCCCCCACGATGCGCCATTCAGAGGCACGAGTTCTTTCTCGCTGTCGGACGCTTGGATGTCTGCATCCCGCCTGCGTCCTCTGCCATGACCAGTGACGGGGTCCATTTCAGCTCGGTGATGGCCAGCAGCGGTCCCCACTCCCAGCCTCTCCGTGGGTGGCACGCAGCCGTGCCTCTGACAGGGCGACCACAGGCCCGCGGGACCAGGGAGTGGGGGAGAGCTTCGGATGGGGACGGACGAGCAGGGGCGGGAAAGCGCCGTGGGTGGGGTGGTCGGTCACCTGGTGCCCTCCCCCAGGTGAACATGACCACGGACCTGGAGGGCAGCGACATGCTGGTGGAGAAGGCCGACCGGAGAGAGTTCATTGACCTGCTCAAGAAGATGCTCACCATCGACGCCGACAAGCGGGTCACGCCCATCGAGACCCTCAACCACCCCTTCGTCACCATGACCCACCTGCTGGACTTCCCGCACAGCACCCAGTAGGTGGCCTGCTCACAGCCTTGCCCCACACTCTAGCCAGGGCTGCGCCCCGCCATTAGGGATGGGGATGGCTGCAAACTCGGTGGCCTTCCTGTCACTTCCCTGGCCATGTAGTCATGGCCCTGGCCACCAGCTCCAGCCCAGGTGTAGAGATGCAGGCAAAGGGGTCAGACCAAGAGTACAGCAGGTTGGGTACCGGCCTTGCATGCGGCCAACCCAGGTTTGATCCCCGACACCCACTCTCATCCCCCAAGCCCCTCCAGGAGTGATGTTGGAGCACAGAACCAGGAGTAAGCCCTGAGCACCACCAAGTGTGCCCCTCCCACACACACACACACACACCCCGTCCCCCAAGCAAAACCTAAAGAGACAAGAGCAAAACTACATCCCAGTCAACACAGTTTATCATATAGGGGGCCTGAGCCACAGTTTACTTTGCAGCAAAAAAGAGGGCCTGAGAGACAGAGTGATAGTACAAGGGGGAGGGCACTTGCCTTGCCTACGGCTAACCCGGTTTCAACCTTCAGCATCCCGTATGGTCCCCTGAACCCACCAGGAGTGATCCCTGAGCACAGAGCCAGAGTCAGCCCTGAACACCGCTGGGTGTGACAAAAAAAAAAATTATTCATTTATTTTTAAAGGAGGGCCTGGCTGGACCCCATGGGGTCGTGGGTGAATGAGGACGGGGGAAAGGAAGGGGATGCTTAGAACAGCAGTGTCCATGGAGCGTAGATGCTTCCAGGGCCAACGGTCACTCGGGAGCCGGCGGCAGTTTAGAATCTGGCTTCATGCCTTCATTCACTGTTTCAGCCTGCTCTGAGCCTGTGGTGCTAGGAGTCGGGGGTGTGTTGAGAGGGCCTGAAAAGAGGCCGGGGAGAGAGATTTGCCACAGTCCTGGGGTCCCTGGCTGGCCGAGGGTAAGGCTGGGCAGGGCACGGCGGCCAGAGAGCGAGCATTGCTCCCGGCCTGGTGCTCCCTCCCTCTCTGCTCGCTTCCTTCTCGGTCGGTGCCTGTCAGGTCCCCCTGCCAGGTGAGTCTTTCGTCTGGACCCCATCGGCCCCAGCCCCGGCTGACACTCTCTGACGGGGAGTTGCCATTGCAGGTGACCTGCCCGGCGGGGGTGCTCTGGCCTCGGTGTTCCCATGGGAGTGTTCGGAGCTGGGGGGCTTATTGTCTCTCAACACCCGTTAGCCATCAGCGCATGGCAGTCCCAGCCTGAAATGCCAGGCCTCGGCGTCCCGAGGGTCCGTGGAAGAGAGCCTCGTGCCCTCTGGGGACAATCATGGGGACCACGAGCTGCCCAGAGACATAGACGAACTCGGGGCTGGGCATCCCCAAGGCCCGCCCAAGCCCCATGGGGCTGCCAGTTAGTGGGTGGAAGAGACCTCCCCGGGTCTCCAGCCCAGGGCTCCAGGGCATGGGTACCTCCCCCACGTGGGCAGAGTGACCCTCACAGAAAAGCCCCTCCTGAAACTCAGCCCCTGCATGTCACCGAGTTCAGAGGCTCTGCAAACACCACTGGTCCTTCAAACATATTCCAGAGGAGCAAACGAATTCTTGCTCCTTCCTTCTCAGAGGAGAGGGAGCGAGAACTTGGGGGCGGCATGCGCAGGGGCCTGTGACCCCGAGATATGGCAGCCCCATCCCAGTGACCCATTCTCAGCTGCTGGCCACCCCCAGAGACCCCGGATCCTTCCTCTCCAGGAACCCTGGGCTCACTGTAGGGGACCCTGGCGGGTTGTGTTAAGATTCCCCGGGCAGGCCCGGCTGGCTTGGAAGGACTTTTAGGGGAAGGGTATTCAGGGGAGCCCACGGCTCACCTCCGGGGTCTAGAAATAACCCAGGCTGACATCGGTGTCATTGCGCAGAGCTGTGACTTCCAGTCCGCTTGTTTCCGCGGGAAGCGCTTTCCTATCATTGTTGGGTTTCAAGGTGTGTCCGTGATTTTTGGAGCTAGAGCTGACTCAGGGACACCATCTCAGGCCTCGCCCAGTACTCGTCCCCCCACACCCGCCCACCCCTGCATGCCCCGCCCAACCCCGCCACCCGCAGGACTCCCTACCCCTGCCTCACCTCTGATCCCCTCCCTTGTTTCGCTTTGCTCGTGTCTGTGCCCTGGCTCTGTTCCTGCCGCACCGTGAGTGAGATCAGCTGGTATTAAAACGCACGTTGTTGTGGAATGTCCACGTATGTGGGGTTTTTCACTCGTGTGGACATTATGCACCCTTGAGGGGAGCCCGTGAGCAACAAGGTACTGTGCGTGAAAAGACTCCGGTGGGTTTTCAAGAAAGAGCTTCGAAGGCTGAGACCACTGGGCCGCCCAGCCTTCGATCCTGGAGCCAGCCACACCTTGGAATGACCTTTGGAATGAGTGTTGTGTCTTGACTGATGGACGCCAGGGAGGGAGAAGCACAGGGCCTGTGTGAGAATGAGAAAAGTAAGGGACTGGAGGGATAAAACTCGCCTGACTCCGGTTCAGTCCCCAGCACCCTGTATGATCCCCTCTCTCCCTACCCCACCCACCAGGAGTGAGCCCTGAGTACAGCCAGGAGAGGCCCAGAAACAAAAAAAGAACCAGAAAAGTAAAAGGGAAGTGAAAGGAAGTCAAAGAGGATTCCCCAGGATGGGCCCTTGACCTTGGCCAATGACCTGCCGGCTCTCTCCTCCTAAACCAGGGACAAGTGAGGGCTGGCTACTAGTACGGCCAGCCAATTCTAAGCTCCCATGGAACCTTCTGTCCTGACACTAGCTGCTATTCCCTCAGTTGCCCCCTAGATGGCACTGATGGTCTTTGGGAGGTGCCACGGTCCGCTATCTCTTGCCCTCACGCCTCTCTCCCTGTCTCTCTCTCTCTGCCCCTGCCTTTTACATGAACAGCGTCAAGTCCTGTTTCCAGAACATGGAGATATGCAAGCGTCGTGTCAACATGTATGACACCGTGAACCAGAGCAAAACCCCCTTCATCACGCACGTGGCCCCCAGCACGTCCACCAACCTCACCATGACGTTCAACAACCAGCTGAACACTGTCCACAACCAGGTGGGTGGGCCACGGGGAGGAGGGCAGCATTGGGGCCCCCTCCCCCCCCAGCCGCAGGAAATGGTCCATTTCCCATAAGACCCGGTTGGGAACCAAGACCAGACCATGAACAAGCAGCCCTCAGCTGTCACGTGTCACATAGTGCTTCCAAGGCACGGAGCATCTTGGCCTCAGAAGGTGCTAGAAACAACTTGCTCGGAAGTTGCTCTTAGCTGGGGTGGGGGGGGGCTCTTAATTGCTTTCCTCTGCCCTGCTCTGTGTGTGTGTGTGTATGTGTGTGTGTGTGTGTGTGTGTGTGTGTGTGTGTGTGTGTGAGGCTGGAGGACCCCTGCCTTAGACTGCCCAGTCGGGAACCGCAGAACTGGACAAGATGTAGCAGCGCGCCCCCCTCCCCCACCCCGTCCCCACACCTCCCGTCCTTTATCCAAGTCGCTTCACCAGCCTGTCACCAGAGTGTCAGCAGCTGTGACTGAAAAAAGACCGTGAAACAGGTTTTCTCTCCACACTTTTCCACCCTCCTCTGTCATAAATGAGTTGTGGACTCCACCTCCCGGCGGGGTGCCTGCCTGCAGGTGCCAGCCAAGAAGTGTCCACCAAGCGAGCGAGGTGATGAGCCCCAAGAGCCACCCTGCTCCCTCCTGCTGCCTCCTAGTTCACCAGGCCCCTCAGAAATAAGTCCTGGAGGGGCTGGAGCCATAGCACAGTGGGTAGGGCGTTTGCCTTGCATGCGGCCAACCTGGGTTCGATTCCCAGCAACCCATAGGGTCCCCTGATCACCACCAGGAGTTATTCCTGAGTGCAAAGCCAGGAGTAACCCCTGTGCATCGCCGGGTGTCACCAAAAAAAAAAAAAATAGTATGAGCCCTGGATTGTTGCGACCCTCATATCTGTCTGCAGTGACTCCAGTGCACCTGAGCGTGTATTGGAAACAACGTCCATTGCGGAGTATCTAGATTCTAATCATCCACATAAATCCTATTCCTCTTTTTTCTTTAAATTTTTTTTGGCAGGCCCCTGCAGGCCCCCCACCCCCCAAAGCCACTGCTTTTCATCCAAGCCACGGCGTTTTCCTAGCCCATTCTGCGGGACAGTCACCTTCCCAGGTTCAATTCTGGGATCTGCTGCCCCCTGCAGGCTGCTGCTGTTCTCACAGCTCCCAAATGGGGGACACCCGGAAACTGACTGCCCACTCCTAGCGCCCAGCCCAGTCCAACCACTGCAGGCCAAACAGTGGGAGCTCCTGGACAAAAAATCCCCATGGCGGGCTGGGGTGGCGCTCAGCTGCAAAGCACATGCTTGGTATACATGAGACCTGGGTCTGATCCCTGGAACCACAAAAAAAAAAAAAAAAACCCAGGAGGGGCAAAGAAGTACAGACAGGGTTTAGACACTTACCTGGGAAATGACCAATCCCGGCCTAATCCCCGGCACCACATGTGGTCCCCTGAGCCCACCAGGAGTAAGCCCTGAGCACTGCTGGGTGTGCCCCTGCCCTCCACCAAAACAAACAAAAAAACTCCACAGTTTCTTCCTTCACACCTTCTGGGGCACATTTGTCTTTCCCGTCGGGCCTCATGAGACCCCTGGTCTGAACTCCCTGCCACCTGCCCGTCCCCTGCTGTCTCCCTGCCCTGACCCACTTCAGATGCAGCAAACCTCTGAGAGGGGACACCGTAGTCACCTGAGCACAAACCGTGCCCTCTGGGGTCCTGGGGTTCCTGACCATACGAGGGGCACCCCTCCATCTGACCCCCAATGGGACACCAGTACTAAAGAGACTAGAAAATTCAGGAACCTCCCAGAGACACTCGCCAGGGCAGGAGATGCCCACACCGGGGCCCCCCATGACCAGGACACACAGGGGCAGGAAAGGCCATAACATAATATTCTGTCCTACAGTGTGTGGCCCCGTGACATCTGAGCAGGGGGCCAGGAACAGCTGCTCCGTGCTGTGGCCTGGATCCCGGCAGACCCTTCCCATGTGTAGATTTGAGAGAGATTACGGGGGATAGACCTCTTCCGTCTCTGACTGTGTTGTTAAATGACAATGTCACCTGGGGCTGGAGTCATAGCACAGCAAGGAGGGCACTTGCCAACCCAGGTTCGGTCCCCCACCCCCATACAGTTCCCTCGAGCCCCGCCAGGAGTGACCCCTGAGCTCAGAGCCAGAAGTGAGTAAGCACCACTGGGTGTGACCCAAAAAAAATCAGAATAATAATTGGAATGTCAAGGCAGCCAACATTTGCTGGGGCCCCGCTTCTTGTGAGCCGGGCCTGCCCTTTGCTCCTTGCTGTCATCACCTGCTGCTCCCTCTTAGAGGAGCACCTGGAGACGTAGAGGGAGGCTCCGTTCTTAGTTCCCCAGGGGTGCCCTGGGCTTTGACCGCAGCTGCCTGCACCTTGAGCACCCCCAAAACACATTCCAAAGAACACCCAGGGCCTCAGAAGGGGCGTCATCCAAATCACCTGGTCGTCCCTTCCCCACCCCCCACCCCCACCTCTGCTCTGCACGTCCTGGGCGTGGTTGCCAGCTTCGGTACCTGGGAGCCATGAGCATCCACGGGGCCAGCTGGAGGCAAACAGGATGTGGACGGTTGCTGTCGTGCATGGGGTTCCTGTCCTGCACACCTGCCCCCAGCAAGGCCCCTTTCCCCATGCGCCTGACGCTTCCAGAAGCTCGCCTCCTCTACTCCCTGCGACTCTGAGGGTTTGCCTTGGTAGCAGCCCCGCAGAGCCAAGAGAACCTGGAAATCACTCAAACACACACACACACACACACACACACACACACACACACACACACCTACACACACAGTCCCACAGAGCCAAGAGAACCTGGAAATCACACACACACACCACCACCTCTGTCCTGCTGGACTCATGGGTGGACAAGTCCAGGAAGAGATTCTGCAGGCTCAGAATCATGCCAGACCGCGGATCGCTGCTCTGGCCCCAGATGCCCAGAGCGGAGGGCAGACCATCACAGAGAGACCCCGTGGTCTGACACGGGGCGGGAAGGGGCTCAGTTCACCCCCCACAGCATGCCTCTGCTCACAGCTGGTCTTCCAGGCGGCCGTAAGGGCTGTGTCGGTGTTAGCAGGGAGCTGTGTGTCCAGGTGGGCGGCAGGACCCATGTGCATCAGGATGGGAGGCTGGGCCCACCCGTGCATCCGGACGGGAGGCAGGGCCCACCGTGCATCCAGGTGTGAGGCCGGTGCCCACTTCCGCCTGGTCTCTGACCCCACCCCGGCCCCGGGTGCAAGCCTCGAGTGTCCACTCTCCGAGACCGCCCTCCCCGCCGCATCCGTCCGCTGCGCTCCCCGTGCTTTGTCTGCTGGTTCTTGTTTGCGTCCATCACTCCGATCTCGGTCGGGCCTGTCCCCCGCCCGCCCCCTCCTGCTCCACCCCTCCGCCCCCCTCCCTCATTTTTTATGTTTGTTTATTTCTGTTCAATCCCCGTCATTCCTTCAGGCTCCCACCTCCACCAGTGCCACTATTTCCTTAGCCAACCCCGAAGTCTCCATACTAAACTACCACTCTGCACTCTGCCAGCCCTCCGCGGCGTCCATGGCCGCGGTCGCCCAGCGGAGCATGCCCCTGCAGACGGGGACCGCCCAGATCTGCGCCCGGCCCGACCCCTTCCAGCAAGCCCTCATCGTGTGTCCACCCGGCTTCCAAGGTAAGGACACGCCCCGGGGCGGGGTCCGCCCTAGCCCCGCCCACCGGGGTGCCCCGCCCACCCGGCACCCCTTCCTCCTGGCCTCCCCCAAGGGCAAGGCTGATGCTGAACTCGGGTGCCCGAGCCGGGTGTGTCCGGTTGGCAATGCTTGCCCCGGAGTTTCACAGGCGGGAAGGGGGTCGGGGCTGGGCAGTCGAAATCCGGCACCCCCCCCAACCCCACTGCCTCCTCACCCCTATCCACCACTCGACAGTGCACCCCCATGAACTTAGACTCCCGGGGGCTGCAGGGTGCTCACCTTGTACACAGCTGACCCAGGTTTCCAATCCATCCCAAGCACCCCGTAGGGCCCCCTAAGCCCCCCTGCCAGGGCTGATCACTGAGTGCAGAGCCAAGAGTAAGCCTTTGCAGGTATGGCCCAAGCCCCCTCAATGGAAAAAAAAAAAAAACACTAGAATCCCAATTTAGGTGGCAAGCCCAGGAATTGTCTTTGCCTGTCCAGGGCGTCCACACGCTCATGTGTCCTGTCTCAGCAGCTGTCGCAGACCCACCTGCTGTGGTTTTGTGGTGGCTCTTCCTGTGGATCAGGCCACGTGTCCTCTTGTGTCCAGTGGCTCCATTTCGGTTTCATAGCTCCTTGTGTGTGTGTGTGGGGGGGGGGGGGAGGGGGGTAAAGGGGCAGTCATGCTAACCCTTGTTGCTCCGGGGACCGTGTGTGGTGCTGGGGTTGACCCTGGGCAGACCCACGCTCCTGGCTCCCTGGCCTCCTAACTGCTCCCAAGTCATCGGAAACGCCACCATTTGACTTCCCGGAGGGGCCTTTTGTTTGGATGGGATGCTACGTTTTCCCTGAGACCTCGGGAGTGAGCCCCGGGGGAGGGGTCCTGGTGGTGCCCAGCTGACTGGTGCCCATCACTGTCCCTCCTCACCCGACCCCTCTCTTCCAGGGCTGCAGGCCTCGCCCTCCAAGCACGCCGGCTACTCGGTGCGGATGGAGAACACAGTCCCCATCGTCACCCAGGCCCCCGGAGCCCAGCCGCTGCAGATCCAGCCAGGCCTACTGGCCCAGGTAAAACCGCTCACGGTGGGGCTCAACAGGGGGGCTCTGTCCGCTGACTCCTGAGGTGACGATGCGTCCTTGGAGGAGGCCACTGACGGGTGGGTTCCCTTTGGCGCTGGAAGGGTCTGAGCTTACTATTATGGTTCTCCTCTCTTCCCAGGGCAGATCAACATGCTTGGGGGGGCAGAGGGGCGGCAGGGGAATGACACTTTGGTTTTTCATTTTTGGGTACACTCCCCACAGTTGACCATCCTGGTTCATGGCAGGGGCCTGTGTCTGCCTTGAGGCCCCTGAGGTGCCGGGGACCCCTAGGCCCACCCCAGCAGACAGAGCCCCAGAAACCCTGTGGTGTCGGGGATGCACCCAGGTCTGGTGCACGCACAGCAAGTACCTTAACCAGCCCTGCCTGTCTCCTGGGCCGAGACCTGGGTCTGGGCCCCAACTCTGCTAACTCGCGGCAGCCAATTAACATTTTTGTGCCTCAACTTTCTCTCTTGAAAAAATAGAGATGAGGGCTGGAGCGATAGTACAGTGGGGAAGGCATTTGCCTTGAGTGCAGCCGACCCGGGCTCAGGCCCTGGCATCCCATATGGTCCCCCAAGCACCACCAGGAGTGATTCCTGAGTGCAGAGCCAGGAGTAACCCCTGAGCATCCCCGGGTGTGACCCAAAAAGGAAAAAAAAAAAAAGAGAGAGAGATGATTTTCTGGAGGGCAGGAGTCTGTACCCAGCCACGGTGCTCAGGGCTTCCTCCTGGCTCTGGGCTCAAGGATCACTCCCGACTGGACTCGGGGGCCTGTATTTGCTGCTGGGGATAGAACCAGGGGTGGCTGCATGCACAAATGATGCTTTAACCCCTGTTTTGTCTCTCCAGCCCCCAGAAAAACACAGTGGGCTGTTCTGTGTGGTTTGAACCAAAGGACTATCTCCTCCTTGTCCTGTAGTTGGATGGACAGGCCTTCCCTGCCTTCCCAGTGCGCTGGGCTGGACGCTGGAGGGGACCATAGGGTTCCAGGCTCGCTAGCAGGCACAGGCCCTTTACAGCTGCCAATAGTCCCAACCCCACCTGCCCCGCCCCCGAACTGCAGGGGACAGCATCCTGATTTCTGTATAGATAATCAGACACCATTGCTGACTCGAAGTCACACGGCAATCAGGTGACGAAACCAGGACACAGGTCCCAAAGTCTCACACACACACATACACACACACACACATACACACACACACACACACACACACACACACACACACGCTCACTGCTTCCGTAGAGCCATTGCTTTTGTGGAGCTCAGACACAAATAAATGCCAGCATGGAGGCACCTTTGTTTTAACAACCAGGTTCCCCAAGGCCCTTTGCCTGGGTTTTGCTAAGTTGGAGTTTGTTTCCCTTTGAATGCCACCCAGTTGCGTCAGAATCATTGTTTTACTAAGCTCATAGTTTATCTCAACTATTATAAAGTTTATTAGTTCTGGCAGGGCAAGGCCCAGTTCTACATTATTCTGCAAATTTTCAGGGTGGGGGGGGGAGGTCCAGAGAGAACACAGGGGTTAAGACACTTGCCTTGCATGTGGCAGCCCCAGTTTAAGTCCCCAACATGATAGGGGGTCCCCAGACCAGTGCCAGGAGTGACCCCTGATCCCAGAGTGAGGAGTAACCCCCGAGTACCACCGGATGTGACCCAAAAGCCTGAACAACACCAAACAGGATCCCTAGTCTAGTCTGGTTCTTTTCATGTGGATTTTGGGGGAAGGACTTTTGTTCAATTTTTTTTTCAGGGGTGGTACTCATCCCTGCTGGGGGCCACAAGGACTATGTGTGGTGGAAGGGGGTGGGGGAGGGGCGGCTGGCCCTGCCAGGGTTTGTCCAGGCCTGGCGTGGTTCCAGTGCTTGAGCGTCTCACCGTCTCTGCCGTGTCAGTTAAAACATCTCTCTTACATCAGCGTTTAAGTTCCAAAACAAAAGCCAATTTGTCGTTATTGACTCCAATTGAATTTCTGTCTCCTTGAAGAACAATTGACATCTTGATCAGGTTAAGGCGCTCCACCCGGGAACATGCTAGAACTCTGAACAAGTTTTCTTCTTGTTGGACCAGAGAGATGGCTCGGGGTGGGACTGAAAACATGCCTCGCATGCAGAAGGCCTAGGTTCTGTCCCGGGCAGCTCATGGTCCCCTGACCATTGCCAGGCCTACCCCACCCCCACCCAGGACCAAGTCAGGGGTCGCCCCTAAGCATTACCGGAGGTGGCCCCCAAACCAATAAATAAAGCTACCATCCTCTCATTCCACTTCTTTTGTTGGGATAATTCCCAAATGCTTTTTGTTACTTCAGCTTTATTCTTTGCACTATGTTGGGGGGCTGGGGAGTCCCCTTTTGCAGTTGTTGGGGTTGTTCCCGGGGGCCCGGGGGAGTCTCTGTGACCAGGGGTTTGGTCTAGGTCTCCCACATGCAAAGCACATAAACCCCAGCTCCTTTGGGTTTCTCCCTCACCCCAAAATTGTTAACTTTTTCAACCAATTAATATTGAATTGCATGAAATATTCTTTCTACTTTTAAATACCTGTGGGGTTTTTTTTTTGGGGGGGGGTGAGACTTTAGTGGGTGGAGTTTGGGGCCACACCCAGCGATGCTCAAGGATCATTCCTGGTGGTGTTTAGGGGACCACATGGGTTGGCGGGAATCAAACCCAGGACAACCGCATGCAAGGCGAGCACCCTACCTTCTGGACTATCTCACCGGCCTGCTTTTTTAACTTTTAATCTAGTAATGTGGCATACAGCATGGCCAGATTCTTGTGAGTGAGATTAAAGTCTCCTTCTAGGGGCTGGAGCAATAGCACAGTGGGTAGGGTGTTTGCCTTGCACGTGACCAACCCGGGTTCGATTCCCAGCATCCCATATGAACCCCTGTGCATCACCAGGTGTGACCTAAGAAGCAAAATAAATAAATAATAAATCAAAATAAAGTCTGCTCTGGGGGCTGATTCTTTTAACTTTTTATTAGTGAATCACCGAGAGATACAGTTACAGACTTCCGTGCTTGTGTTTCAGTCATACTGTGCTCGAGTACCCATCCCTCCACCAGTGCCCATTCTTCACCATCAATGATCCCAGTATCCCTCCCACTCCCTCACCCCATCCCCCCACCCCACCCCACCTCTGTAGCAGGGCATTCCCTTTTGTTCTCTCTCTCAGGGGGGCTGGTTCTTAGCACAGTGAGTGAGTACCATGTCCTAGTATAACAAAGAGGACACTTGTCTTGCACGTGGCCAACCCGGGCTTGATCCCGGGCATGCCGTCTGGTCCCCGGAGCACTGTCAGGAGTGATTGCTGAGTGCAGAGCCAGGAGTAAGCCCTGAGCATCGCCAGGTGTGCCTTCCAACAACCAAAAACTTTTTAAAAACACAAAACTAAGAATAAGACCTCCTGTTTCTGAGATAATAAACTGTATTGGATTGTCTGGTTTACTACTGGATTGTTTATGAACACTGGAGTTAGTCTTGTATCTGCTCCTCCGTGACAAATGGCATGCAGCGGTTCTTAGAGATGAACCCCTTCCTGCTCTGGGACTCAGGGTCAACCGGGTCCCCTCACCTATGTCAGCGGTTACAGCTCTGTGTGTGTGTGTGTGTGTGTGTGTGTGTGTGTGTGTGTGTGTAAGTGTCTGTATGGGCCCTTCTTTGTGTTTGCACATGGAGCCCTAGTGAGCAGGAACCAGCTCCTGCAGACACCATCATCAGCGTCTCGGAGATGGACATTCCCGCGGGCTGAGAGAGGTGGCCGCCAGTGGGCTCGGTGCTCTAGGTTCCTTTCCCGTCTTTCGCCAGAGCGGGCAAGAGTTTCGCCTTTGGTTTCCTGGAGAGCGTCCCTGAGGGTGTGGTACCTCTCCAAGAAAACAACCCCCCCAAAATACAGGTACCGGCATTCAATCCCTGTGGTGTGCGAGTCGGGGAACGCCCAGACCCCTTGGAATACTGGGGGACACGGGCCATGTCATCTGAGATGAACACTAACGGAGCTCCCATGGCCATTAGGAGGGTCCCGGCTGGCCAGGGTTCCTGAGGAGCATGTGAAGCTTCTGGCCTGCCTGTGGTTCTGCAGCACTTCCTGTTAAGTGGCAGCTCTTCCCGGGGGCCCCCCTGCCTCTGCCCTCACCCCGTGGGCAGCTCCCACCCAGGCTCTCTCCCACCCTCTTCCCCTGGAGGCAGCCAGTGTTGACTCACAGGCTACGCACACAGCTGCAGAGTTGGCAGGAAACCCCCAGGTCCATCTCCATCCCCTCCACTTTTCCTGACGCTCCCTTCAAGGGACAGGAAGGAACTCGCTTCCCACCCCCTGGTGGCTGGGAGAAACAGCGACGTCATTGGAACTCCTGCCTCTGCCTCTCTCTCAGGCCATTTCTGGGGAGCGTCACGGAATCTCCAGACATGAGAGTGACCTCTAAGCTTGTCCGATGGTGGACAGGGTTCTGCCCGTTTATGTCTATTTGCATGTGTGTTGTGTGCGTGGAAGTGCATGCACATGTGTGTGTGTGCATGTGTGTGCATGTATATGCGTACTTGCATGAGTGATGCCTGGAACCCAGGCTCGGTGAGCCTGTGCTTTGCCTCTGAGCCTGGCCCAGCCTGGTCCTTCCTCTCAGAACCTTTTCATCTTCCCAAGGATTTGAACCGGGAAGGGCAACAAGGCGTCACTCGCCACCTTCCTCGTGCTGGATTGCTTCTCTCTGCCCTTTTCTTGCCCACCTTTGCCAGCCACATACATGCTCTCCCCGTTGAATTCTGCCCCTCCCTCTACCCTCCCTTCCTCCCTTCCTCCCTTCCTCCCTTTCTTCCTTCCTTGTTTGTATTTTTGGGTCATATCAGGGAACCCTATGGGGTGCTGGAGAGTAAGCCTGGGTAAGTTAGATGGCACCGCAATCTTTTTGTTTTCACTTGGGGGCCACACCCTGCAGTGCCCAGGGCTGACTCCTGGCTCTGCACTTCGTGGTCACTCCTGGCGGTGCTTGGGATGAGACGCCGGGGATAGAACCCGGGTCGGCCGTGTTGCAAGGCACATGGTCTGCCTGCTGTACTAGCGCTCCGACCCATAATCTTATTTCTAAGTCACACACTTCTAGTGGATGGTTCCAGTGCAGGTGTCTACTGACCTCTGCTGCCCCTGAGGGTGGAGATTTTGTTCTCATGTCCACTCTGTGCCCTGCTAGCACACACGTGCTCGGGCACGCACACTCCCTAGCTCATTTAGTCCTCCTCCCAGGATAGTTGTATTCTGCAATATTTATATTCAGCGTGCCCGAGACCCTCACTCTCAGCCGAGGCTCCTGATTTCCTTTCCTATGCAGCGTGCTTCTCTGGGGGTCAGTGGCTGTCTCCGTTTCCCCCTGGGTCCGTTTATGCTCTGTGAACACACACGGCTCCCAGGCCTTCGGGAGGTTGGTGCATCTCCGCTTATGGAGACGTCCTGTGCTTGTTCCCTTCTGCCTTTTGGGGGGTGGGGGGAACTCTCCTAGCCCACACGGTGGGTCTGAGCTGTTGTGCCTCTGTGCTTTTTGTGTTTTTAATCGGAATGACACTCAGCGGGGCCCGGGATGACCCACAGGTATGCCCCGCCTGGCAGCGTGGGCTTGATGCTGCGGTTCTTGGCACAATGTCTTGGGGATCCGATTCAGCACCTCACATATGCTAGGTATATACACTGCCACTCACACCATCTCCCCAGCCCCTTGAGGGGTCTCATCTGACACTGACCGGGACCCCTGACTTGCTTTCAAGTCAACCTGGACGGCTTGTGATTGTTGTTTTGTCGATGTTAATTTTCTTCTCTCTGTTGTCTCTGTCCCTTCTTTGTATTTTTTTTTTTTTTTGCATGTAGGGGGGTGCATATACACTGCTCTGTGCTCAGGGTACAGTACCAGGGATTGAACCCGGGCCTCCTGTGTGCAAAGCATCGCTCAGTTCTCTCAGATCTCTCTCTCTCTCTCTCTCTCTCTCTCTCTTTCTCTCTCTGGCTCTCGGAGTCTTAACCACTGCTTGGTGGTGCTTTGAATTGCTCTTGTGCTTTTTTTTGCATCTTTTCTCTCGTATTTCTGAGGTGTACATATCTGTATTTTTTTTTCTTTTTGGGTCACACCCAGCGATGTTCAGGGGTTCCTCCTGGCTCTGCACTCAGGAATTACCCCTGGCGGTGCTTGGGGGACCATATGGGATGCCGGGAATCGAACCCGGGTCGGCCGCATGCAAGGCAAACGCCCTAACCACTGTGCTATCGCTCCAGCCCCCATATCTGTATTTTAAAGGGGACCATGTTCTGTGAGATTCCCTTTTGTTTTAACCTTTTATGGAATTGCTCATTTGTCACAGTGATTCTCCTAAGAGGTTTTTATTCATGTAAATAAACTGCTTTACTTAAACATCATGCTTACAGAGTTGTTCAGAATACAGTTGTTATCGCTTTCAACATTCCAGCACCAGTCTCACCACCAGAGTGACCTTCCCTTCACCATTGTCCCCAGTGCCCCAGCCACACCCCCGCAAGCCGGCCCCCTTAGCTGGCACACAATGATTTGTTTTATAGTGTTTTTTAACAACTAAATGGTTCATGGAATTGTCAAACCTACTTTAGTGAAGGAAAATTTGTGAAGATTGTTATATCTCACCATGGGGTTGTTAAGTTTTTGTCTGAGGATTTACTAATCTGTGTGTTGCCGGTTGAGCTTTCTATATTATTGTTTTTTGTGTGTGTGTTGAGTCTAGTTGGCTTCTCTTATTCCCCATCTAATTTGGTGTGCTCCCTACCGGGATGTCAGTATTGTGGAAGTTGGTATGTGGTCACATGACCCAGAAGCTTCAGAATCTGTAGAGCTGGGCCCATGAGTGGACATGGCAGCTGTGCGAGGTGGGCGTGGCTTCTGGGGCTTCCAGAAGCATTGGTGGGGCGGGGTGGGGGGGGTGGGATTGGTGGAGGGAGGCTGCCTGCCCCCACTCTGAGAAGGCCCCAGAATTCCCAGCCTCAACCCTGGGGTACCTGGGATTTTCATAGTTTAGTGTCTGCAGAGATTCTTAGTGGAGTGGGGTGTGGTCAGCTGTCAGGGCTTCTGCCAACCGGGGACTCAGCCCAGCCCCCTCCCAAATGCGCCCCAGAGGTTCACCCATGAATTCCAGCTGCTCGACTTGCATCCCCTCGGATCGTGAGTCTGGAGAGCAGGGCTGGTGCCTGAGTCGCTGGTGGCAGCGGCCGACCATGGGGACTGGACTCTCTTGTTCTCCAAATAGACATTCCGACATTGACACCCACAAGAGTTCAGAATAGCTGTTTCACTCCATCTTTTGGAAATAACATGTAAACGTCTATTTTAGGGACATGGCGGGGGATGTCTTTAGCCCTAAAACGGTACCAAATTTGCTTTTTCAAGTGATGTTAGTCAAAATACATGCCTGTTGTAAGCTTTGAAATGATTTTCAAATCATATCTGTCGAAATGGTACTGTCAGTGAAATTGTTATTCATTTAATATCTGAACTTGTAACTAGATTTTGTTTGTTTTCTTTTTTGTTTGTTTGTTTGGGGGGGGGCATGCCAGGAGTAAGCCCTGATTGACTTACTGCTGGCTCTATGCACAGGTATCACTCCTGGCAGGCTTGGGGAACCATATGGGATGCTGGGATTCGAACCCTGGTCAGCCGTGTGCAAAGCAAGTGCCCTACCTGCTGTAGTATTGCGCCAGTCCCTTATTTGTTTTCTGGGCTACACCTGGCCGTGCCTAGATGCTAACTCTTTGCAGGGCTCAGGGGACCATATGCAGTGCTGGGGATCAAACCCAGGGTCAGCCACATGCCAACACCCTACAGCTGTGCTATCCCTCCAGCCCCCTGCAGCTGTTTTTAATCAAAAAAGAAAAATATTTTTTTGCATACTGTGTTTGAATTCAGTAACTCTGAAAGACAGTTACCTATAGTTAATAACTTTGGTGGAATTGCTTTCATTTTATCAATACGATATTAATCACTTTCTATATAATTCATGGTTCCTGATTTTTCTGTTTTCTATAAAAAGCAGAGCAATAAGCAGCAGGAATATTGAAAAAGCATAAGCAATCTCACTGAGGCCCGTATCATTACTTGGCAGGTGTTGGGGGGATGACATCCAGCAATGTTCAGGGGTTACTCCTGGCTCTGTACTCTGGAATTACCCCTGGCATTGCTCAGGGGACCCTATGGAATGCCAGGAATCTAACCCGGGCCAGCTGCATGCAAGGCAAGTGCCCCAACTGCTGTGCTATTATCATTTCTGTATACAAGCCACTTTGTATTAGTCCTTGACTCAGATCTGCATCCCATTCCCAGGGGTGCCGGGTTTTATGTATGGGCTTAAACTCACAATCTGTGGGGCAGCTGCACCATCGACATTACCTGAGATAATATGATCCTCCCCACGCCCCACCAAAGGAAGAGGAGTTGTAGCTAAAGTTGTACTAAAGCACAAGGATTGTGCCTTTCAAAGTGCAACCTTGGACAACTGTGTTCAGCCCGAATCATCTCATAACCACAGGCAAGAACACAGAGGGCACCAGGGGCTGGAGCCCTAGCACAGCAGGCAGGGCAGTTGCCTGGCACACGGCTGATCTGGGTTTCTGGGTTCAATCCCCGGCATCCCATATGGTCCCTCGAGCCCACCAGGAATGATTTCCAGAGTGCAGGGCCAGGAGTAACCCCTGAGCATCCCTGGGTATGACCCCAAAATAAACAAACAGAAAAACCCAGTCCCCAGCACCTAAAAGGGAAACATTTCCGTTTGCTCTGACTTGCTAGGGTAGTTCTTGGGGGCGGAGGGGAGACAGGGAGTGCTGCTTGAATACTCGCAAAGGGCCTGGGGCCACTCCCAGTAAAACTTGGGTGTCTGGACAGGCCTGAGTGTTCAATGCTCAGCCTGGTGATAAACTGCATAGGGGATGAGTGGGGGGTGCCGGGGTGGGACTAGGGGGCAGCTGCATGTTAGGCAGGTGCCTGACCCCTGTGCTCTCTCTCTGGCCCGTTGTTTAGAACACTTACAGTTTGTTCTATGTAAATTAATGACAGTAGTATTCCCTGACTGCAAAACAAACAATCTGCCGAATGAAACCAAGAAGGAGTACCCCACTTTTAAATAAAGGGGGGGCCCCTGCCGCAACTGAGGCTCCAGAGAGGTTGAAATCCCAAACACATAAATGCAAGCATGCACACATGCACGTGCACAGATATACACACACATGCACGCGCACACACATGCACACGCACACACTGTCTATACAAGGAAGAACCAAAAGGGGCCAGAGCAAAAGCACAGCCCATAGCGCATTTGCCTTGCATTCGGCCGATGCGGATTCAATCCCCGGCATCCCGTATGGTCTCCTGAGCACCGCCAGGAGTAATTCCTAAGCGCAGAGCCAGGAGTAACCCCTGAGCATTGCTGGGTGTGACCCAAAAAAGCAAAATAAATAAAAGTCTTTCTTTTAAGTCAGCATAAATCAGAAAACTCTACGTGCTTTGGAAGGGCTCGGTCTGTGATTTCTGAATTCTTTGCTTTTGCCTTTGAAAAGCCGCGATGCTTCTCGGTGAAGGCGAAAGTCCGTCAGTGTGACCCTTGTTTGCCCCAAGTTGCCGGGGCAGAACCTGAGCACCGGCTGGCAGCCCAGGCACCGTGAGACTCGGGCTGGGACTCTCAGTTCTAACTGCTGAGCCCAAAGGGATTGTCTGAAACAGAGGAGGCAGGGGAGAGACTGGATGGCCAGCAGCGGGCCCCTATAGGCTTGGTCCAGCCCACACACCTGGGGGACAGAACCAGTCTGGAAAGGCACTTTCAGAAGCTAAGAGGGTTCCTGCTTAGAGCAAGCCTCCGGGCTCCTTCCTGACACACCCTGTCTCCCGCCCGCAGCAGACCTGGCCGAGCGGCACCCAGCAGATCCTACTGCCCCCTGCGTGGCAACAGCTGACGGGCGTGGCCACCCACACGTCGGTGCAGCACGCCACCGTGATCCCCGAGACCATGGCTGGCACGCAGCAGTTGGCCGACTGGAGGTAAGCTGGCCGGGAGCCGAGCCGGGGATGTGGGTGCACGACTGGCGCTGCCCTGGGTGCCCTGGTTTGTGGGGAGCTCTTGCCAGTAGAGAGAATTCTCCGTGCCACAGAGCCCGGCCTGACGGGAGGCTTCAGGTGTGTGTGTGTGTGTGTGTGTGTGTGTGTGTGTGTGTTTGGGGGGGGTCAGGGCAGCCTCCACACCAAGCTCTTGCACTGAGTTGTCACCACACCCTCATCCCAAGATGTCATTTAGGGAGAAATGGAAATGGACCAACACACACACACACACACACACACACACACACACACACACACACACGAAAAGCAACCCCGTGGAGAGCTCTTTCCAGTAAAGAGAATTCTCTGTGCCACAAAGCCCAGCCTGATAGGAGGCTTCTGGTGTGTGTGTGTGGCAAGGGGCGGGGGGGAGGGGGCAGTCTCCACGCCAAGCTCTTCCACTGAGTTGTCCCACACCCTAATCCCAAGATGTCATTTAGAGAGAAATGGAAATGGACCAACACACACACACACACACACACACACACACACACACACACACACACCCCCGAAAAGCAGCCCCATGGGGAGTTCTTTCCAGTAAAGAATTCTCCGTGCCACGGAACCCGGCCTGATGGGAGGTTTCTGATGTATGTGAATGTGAGTGTGTGTGTGTTTGTGTGTGTGTGTGTGTGTGTGTGTGTGTGTTTGCGGGGTTCGGGGCAGACTCCATGCCAAGCTCTTCCATTGAGTTGTAACCACACCCTTATCCCAAAATGTCATTTAGGGAGAAATCGACCAACACACACGCACACACGCGCGCCCGCGAAAAGCAGCCCACATGGTCCTGAAGCCCCCCACGTGTGCCTCACCAACAGCCTGATTCGGGGCGGGCCTGGGCTTGGTTTGTGGCTGGCTCTGAGAAGTAACACTCACCGCCCCGAATACAGAACTCGGTTCCCCGCGAGAGGGGGCAGACGGCACCTCCCCAGGGCCCCTGAGCTATGTAGGTGTCCTCGAGGGATTTGGGGTGTGGACATGCCAGGGCTGGGTCTGACAGTACGAAGGGTTGACGCCGGCAAGTCCACATCCGTCCATAGTCCTGTGTGCCCACCCCCAGCCTCACACGCCCACCTCCCCCACTCACCGACTTTCTCAGGGTCACTCCAGGTCTCCGTGAACCTCCCACCTGCCCCCACCACCACCATCAACCGTGCCCCCTGGAGCCCCTCTGGGCCAGTGTGGAGACTGATGGCAATCCCCATGCAGGCTCCAAGTTCCCGTGGTGCTGGGCTCCGTCAGCCCAAACACATCCCTGTCCCTTGGGCCATCCCACACCAGCTAATTAAGATCGGGGGAGCTGGGAGATCCAAGCCCTGGTCACACCCCGCTTGCGGCGTCGTCTGGGACAAGGCAGAGCCAGCTCCTGACTCAGCCCTCACTCCGCGGCCACCTCCCACCCACCACCCAGTCAGTACAGGATCTGAAACGGGGCACTCTTGCCCTGCCCCACCCCAGGCCCAAGCCCCAGCCCAGACTCAGGCCAGCCTGGGTCTCTAACGGCAGGTGCCCCAGAACCCTCTCTGGAGACAAGCCAGCAGGGTCCAGGGCCCCCAAAGACTCTAAGTCCATCACTCACGGTCACTGTCACGGTCCTCCCATTTGTTATTCATCGATTTGCTCGAGCAGGCCCAATAACATCTCCATCATGAGACTTGTTGTTACTGTGTTTGGCATATTGAATACACCACAGGTAGCTTGCCAGGCTTTGCCGTGCGGGCGAGATATTCTCGGTAGCTTGCCGGGCTCTCCGAGAGGGACAAAGGAATCGAACCCAGCTTAGACGGGCCTGCTGCACGCAAGGCAAATGCAAACACGCTACCGCTGTGCTATCGCTCCAGCCCAAGTGCATCACTAGGGCTCAAAAATCCCGTCCCCTGACAAAGTCCTAGGCACGGACTCTCCGTGGGAAAGCCCAAGTAGGCAAGTCTGCCACGAACCATATGAAACCCTGTAAGACTGGCTTTGCAGAGCGAAGAGTTCATTCCACCCACCGCCCCGCTTGACCGGGAGAGGGTTCCTTTTATTTCACCTTGCTCTCACCTGATTCATGTTTCTTTTGTTTGGTTTGGGCGCCACACCTGGCGATGCTCAGGGCTTACTCCTGGCTGTGCCATCCCATATGGGATGCTGGGGATTGAACCTGGGTCATCCATGTGCAAGGCAAACTCCTTAGTGCTGTAGTACCTCTCCGGCCCCTCTCTCACTCTCTGGAACGTGCTGTCTTTGCCCTCTTGCCTTTTAATAACATTTCATTACTTCACTATTGGTCTCCTCCTGAAATTCTTTGCAAGAACAGGCTGCAAACTCTGCAAACCAGCAGAGGTCAGGACTGACTTTGTTTGGGGGCCACACCCAGCTGTGCTCAATGCTTGCTTCTGGCTCTGTGCTCAGGGGGCCATATGGGTCGAAAGGGATGGGGCCACACATGGGACAAGCCCCTCCCCACTGTGCTATGGCTCTAGCCCCAGGACTGACTTTCCCTTCCGGGCGAAGAGCGCAATCCCTTGTCTCTGCCCGAGAAGCCCGTTTCCCACACACTCAGTGCTTGGACCAGTTCCCACGCCTCAGAGATGAAGTGCATCTCAGGGACTACGGTAACCCCCAGCCACTTCTCCAGGGGGGGCTGGAGCGATAGCACAGCGGGGAGTGCATTTGCCTTGCATGTGGCTGACCCAGGTTCGATTCTCAGCATCCCAGATGGTCCCCCAAGCACCACCAGGAGTAATTCTTGAGTGCAGAGCTAGAAGTAACCCCTGTGCATCGCTGAGTGTGACCCAAAAAGCAAAAAAATATATATATATAGTAAAGAGAACCGTTGGAACAACCCATTGTCAGGATGCTGGCTGCCAGCCTTTCTTATCAACATGGGTCTGGCTATTCATTTTTATTTAATGCCCCACTTTATGGGCTGGAGCGATAGCACAGCGGGTAGGGCGTTTGTCTTGCACGCGGCCGACCCGGCTGACCCAAGTTTGATTCCTCCGCCCCTCTCGGAGAGTCTGGCAAACTACTGAGAGTATCTCACCCGCACGGCAAAGCCTGGCAAGCTCCCCGTGGCGTATTCGATGTGCCAAAAACAGTAACAACAAGTCTCACAATTTGTTGTGATCCGTTACTGGTACCCGCTCCAGCAAATCGATGAACAACAGGAGGACAGTGCAGTGCAGTGCCCTACTTTATACGCATCTAGTCAACCTTTGGTTAATCTAATTTTTCATCCAGAAAGCATGTAAAGACTGATGATCTATTATACTACTTATCCCATTGAGAGCATTCAAGATCGTTTCTTGATCGCTAAGTTTCCCAAGTCCCAAGACAGGCGCATAGCGCCCTGCTTCCAAGGCAGGGTCACCCCCCCCACAAGGTGGGGCTCACTCCCTGTCCCACAGCCTCATAGACAGACAGAGAACACCGAGGCCCTTTGTCGGTTCTAGAGTGAAATGCACAGGGCCAAAGAGATAGGGCCCTTGCCTTGGATATGGCTAACCCGGGTTCAATCCCCAGCACCCCATGTGGTCCTCCAAGCCCTGCCAGGAGTGAACCCTGAGCATCGCAGGGTGTGCCCCCCAAATCAAAAGGAAGGAACCTCCCAGGCTGCCAGCTGTGTGGAGGGGGCCAAGAAGGCTACCGTGGGTGAATTTGCCTCTGTTAGGCCCGTTCCTGCAGTGTCCGTGAAGGGGCCACCTTCCCCCTCAGGCCTTTTAACAAAATTCCCCGAGACTACAGCGAAAGCACAGCGGGTAGGGCGTTTGCCTTGCACGCGGCGGATCCGGGTTTAATTCCCAGCATCCCATATGGTCCCCTGAGCACCGCCAGGAGTAATTCCTGAGTGCATGAGCCAGGAGTATCCCCTGTGCATTGCCGGTGTGACCCACAAAGCCAAAAAAAAGGAAAAAAAAAGAGAAGCTAAGTGCAGAGCCCTGAGTAAACCTGGAGGGAGGGCCTGCAAATAGCTCAGAGTTCCCTCTAGCCCCACTGCACCAGGGAGGACCTCACGGGCCAGGCGCCCCCCTCGCCAACAACACCCCACCCCCACCCCGAGAAGCCCCTCCCACTAACACAGCCCTTTGCCCTCTCGACGCCCTCGCAGGAACACGCACGCCCACGGCGGCCACTACAACCCCATCATGCAGCAGCCCACGCTCCTGACCGGCCACGTGACCCTGCCCGCCGCCCAGCCCCTGAACGTGGGGGTGGCCCACGTGATGCGCCAGCAGCCCACCAGCACCGCCTCCTCCCGGAAGAGTAAGCAGCACCAGTCGTCGGCCAGGTAGGGTGACAACAGCGCGGCTGCGCCTTCCCCCTGCACTTATGGAAAGGCTGTGTCTGGGCTCATCATCATCATCCTACTCTTTGATGTTCTCTGGGGGGTTGGGGGTGTCTGACCCAGCCCGGGTTGGCTGTAAATGTTAGGGTAGGGGGGGGTGTTACGCCACCTTGGAGCTGTCAGAACTCATTGAGCGCTTCAGTTGGGGTGACAGGGGCGACCCAGCGTTGCCCACGGCATACTGCGAGCTCCAGCGAGCTCGGGGGACTGAATGGGGTACTGGGGCTCAAATTGGGGTCAGCGGTGAGTCAGGCAGTTACTAGCTCTGCAGCCTTCTTTGAGCATTTCAATGAACCTCAATAAATTTTTTTTTCCTTTTTGGGTCACACCCGGCGAGACTCAGGGTTTACTCCCGGCTCATGCACTTAGGAGTTACTCCTGGCAGTGCTCAGGGGAACATATGGGATGCTGGGAATCGAACCCGGGTTGGCCGCTTGCAAGACAAATGCCCTACGTGCTGTGCTATCGCTCTAGCCCCTTTATTTATTTATTTATTTATTAATCTGACTTTTGGGACCGGAGCAAGAATGCAGCGAGTAGGACGTTTGCTTGCATGCAGCCGACCAGAGTTCAATCCCTGGCATCCCATCGAGTGCCCTGAGCATCACAGAGTGTGGTAAAAAAATAAATAAATAAAAGTAACAAATCTGATTTTTTTTTTCTTTTTGGGTCACACCCAGCGATGCACAGGGGATACTCCTGGCTCTGCACTCAGCAATTACTCCTGGCGGTGCTCGGGGGACCAACCATATGGGATGCTGGGAATCAAACCCAGGTTGGCCGCCTGCAAGGCAAACACCCTACCCGCTGTGCTATGACTCCAGCCCCCACAAATCTGATTTTTAAAAAATAAAACTTTTGATTGGCTGGAGCCATAGCACAGCGGGTAGAGCGTTTGCCTTGCATGCGGCCCACCCGGGTTTGATTCCCAGCATCCCATATGGTCCCCTGAGCACCGCCAGGAGTAATTCCTGAGTGCAGAGCCAGGAATAACCCCTGTGCGTCGCCGGGTGTGACCCAAAAAGAAAAAAAAAAACACAAAACTTTTGAGACTGGTTGATGAAGGTCGAGTGGCTGCAGACTCATAGCCCAGCTGAGAGTCCCTGATTGCTCAGAGCAAGCTAGTGCGGTGCTTCCTCTTACGGCCAGGTGCCAGAAATGAGGTCTGACTTTCATCGTTCTTTTTCAAAAATTAAATCCAAGGGCTGACTTCCCCACCCCACCCCCAAGTTGTCATCCTTAAAGCTGAAGACATACCTAGTACAGAGGGTAAAGCACTCACCTTTCAGGCGGCCAACCTGGATTCGATCCCCAGCATCCCAAATGGTACCCCTGAGCACCTCCAGAAGTGACTCCTGACAGGACCGGGTGTGGTCCAAAAAAAAACAAGAAAGAAAAACATCATCCTACTCTTTGATGTTCTCTGAGGGTGTGGGAGTGTCTGGAAGGCCAGGGGAGTCACCCTAGATCCGTGATCCCACCCCTAGGTCACTGTCAGTGGGTCAACCACAAGGACCCATCCCCGTCGAGTGGGCCAACCGGGGCTGAGCTGAGCGCCCTTGTCCTCCTCTTGACTACGGGGGCAGCAAGGACCCAGCCTCCCGTCCTGTTCGCCAGTGCCTCCCTGCTTGTCACCGCCCAGCTGGCCTTCAAGATCACGCTTTAGTGAAAGGCACACGTGTGTGTCTATTTTTAATTCCCGTGCCTGCGGCACAGCCATCTGAGAAACCAGAAGGCCCTTCCCTGTCGGCGGGCGCGGGCAGACGGGCTGTTGGCGAGCGGTGCCAAGCGCAGCTATTTCCCTGCTGGGATGGTGAAAACATGATCTCCAAACATAACGCAACATATTAGCAACAACAAATACATAGGTTTCTGCAAGTACCAACAGAGGAGCAGCAGTCCTCCCAGTTAGAGTTACCCGCCGGGCCCCCGGAAGGGAGCATCTCCCCCGTCCTCATCCAGGCCAGGGAGAGAATTAAATCAGCCCTCGTCGTGGATTCGTTCCACCTGGCCGCCCTCCCTCTCGCTAGAAGTTGCTAGAACCTCTAAGGGCCTGTTGGAGCCTCCAGTTTCATTACCAGCCGGCTTTGGGCTGGCACTGATTGATTCGGCCAAGGTCAGTGACAAGTCGCTAGGGACGGGGACAGGGAAATTCTTGTGCGTGTGTGTGTGTGTGTGTGTGTTTGGGTCACACCCAGCAATGCTCAGGCGTTACTCCTGGCTCTGCACTCAGGAATTACTCCTGGCAGTGCTGGGGGACCATATGGGATGCTGGGAATCGGACCCGGGTTGGCTGCATGCAAGGCAAACACCCTACCCACTGTGCTATCGCTCCAGCCTCCCAGGGAAAAATTCTTGAGTCATTGAGGTTGCCAGAAGTAGTTTAATGAGGAATTTCCAGTTGCAACAGAGCAAGGTGAAAAGGCCTTATGTGGGGCTGCAGACATAACACCGGTGTGTGTGCCTGTTAGTGCCCGGTGTTGGCTGCTTTCTGCCCTGTCTCTGATGCTGTCATGCCCCTTTTCCTGCTGTCTGTCTGGCCTGTTCTCATGACGTACCAGCCTGACAGCTTCCTGCAGGGCTCGCATGTGAACTTTTTCCTGGCCTGGGGCTGGAGCAGTAGCACAGCGGGTAGGGTGTTTGCTTTCCATGTGGCCTACCCAGGTTCGATTACCAGCATCCCATATGGTCCCCTGAGCACCATCAGGAGTAATTCCTGCATGCAGAACCAGGAGTAACCCCTGAGCATCACCAAGTGTGACCCAAAATGCAAAAACAAACAAAAACCATTTTCCCCCGCCAGGAGTAATTCCTGAGTGCAGAGCCAGGAGTAACCCCTGACCATCAAGTGTGACCCGAAAAGAAAAAAAAAAAAATTCCTGGCCATATCCCCTCCCAGAAAGAGAGGCAAAGAGCTCGCGCTACCTCACGGCAACCCGCGTTAGATCCTTTAAGCTCCTCACCCGCTTCAGAACCAACCACTTTCACTTAACACTGAAGAGTTTTCCACTTGGTCTGCCATTGGCCTGAATAGCAAAGATGTATGAGAGTGAAGAGAATTTCCAAAGGTGCACAGACAGGTTTGGGGCAAGGGCCAGTCCTGGAAGACCCTAAAGGTGACGTGGCCTTGAGGCAGGCAGCCCTGAAATCCTGGGCACCCACCGGCCCCTCCCGCCCTTTCCCAGGAAAGGGCACAGATCCCAGGACACTGAGGTCTTGAAGCAGCCCTGAGGCCAGTTCCTGAGCCAGAGCGGCCCTCTGGACGTGGGCCGGCCTGGTGTTTCTGGACAGGTCGGGAGGACCCTCCCGCAGGCAGCTGCAGGGGCCAGGCTCGCACCCACAGCACAGTCCATGTGGGCAGGACTGTGCCTGCTCGGTATGGGCTCAGAATGTGTGTCTGGTCTCCCTTTGCTGGCGGAAGCGGGGTTCGGGCCACCCCCCTGGTGGTGCTCAGGGCTTACTCCTGGATCTGTGCTCAGGAATTAGTATTTGCAGGCCTCTGGGGCAACCATCTGGGGTCCCGGGAATCGAACCCGGGTTGGCCACATGCAAGGCAAGCATCCTCCCCGCTGTCCTGTCACTTGTCTATTCCTTGGAATAGCAGGAGGTGCGGGTGGCACTCGGGACCCTCTGATGTGGGGAGTCTGGAGGAAACAGGAGAAGGTCCTGGGAATGCGACTGCTGCCTGGGCAATCTGGGAGGGAGGGCGGGGGAAGGGGTGCGGGGACTGATCTGGGGGGGAGGGCTCCCTCCCTGAGCAGTCGCGGCTTTGTCGTTCCAGAAACGTCTCCACCTGCGAGGTGTCGTCGTCCCAGGGCGTGAGCTCCCCGCAGCGGTCCAAGCGGGTGAAGGAGAGCACGCCGCCCCGCTGCGCGCTGGTGCACGGCAGCCCGGCCTGCAGCTCGTCGGTCACCTGTGGCTGGGGCGACGGGGCGGCCAGCAGCACCCGAGAGCGGCAGCGGCAACCCATCGTCATCCCCGACACCCCCAGCCCCACCGTCAGCGTCATCACCATCAGCAGCGACACGGATGAGGAGGAGGAGCAGAAGCACGCCCCCACCAGGTGAGGCTGCGCGGACACCAGACCTGACTGTGCCCCCACCCCCCGCGCGCCCCGGGGCTCGGCCCCCCGCCCCCCCTGGAGGCTGAATCTGGCGTGGTGGTGACCTCACGGGATGTCCTGCCCATGGCAAGCTGATGGCCCGGAGTTGTTTCGTGTCGAGACTGACTGAGTCACATGAGGGTCCTCGCACACCGTCCCCAATTGTGAGACATTTTGGGGTGAAGTGGGGTCAGGGCGGTGGGGGTGGGGGTTCAGGGGTTCGTCGGTTCACTTCCACCCTCAGGAGCTGCAAAATCTCCACCTCCGGCTCTTGATTTTACTCCACATTCATTGGTTGTGATCTTTCTCGAAACATCGCCCGGGCACACCCAGAAACGATCGTAATGATCCAATTAATCAGAAATTTCCCCGTATCTGATTAACCTAATCTTTCAAACTGCCGGCTGGCTCTCACCCAGGGAGCGCTGCTGTTTATTCTGAAGGAGTCGGGATGCAGTTCTCCTCCTCGGGTGCTTCCGGGGAGAAGGAAGGAGTATTGGTTGTGTGAGCCAGGCTGTTGGCCCTGGCCCGGAGCCCTCCTCCGGGGCCTCCCGGCCGTGCTCCAGAGTCAACTTTGCAGCCTCCCCCTCAATCTTGCCTCTGTGGAACCGTCAGTCCCCCGAGCTCCACATCCCCAGGGGTTGGGGGCAGCCTTGTGCACCCAAAGCCTCAGGACCCCCAAGCCCAGCACTGCCCCCCTGCACCCCAGGACCAAATGCACAGGCAAATGTTCGCCGTTACCCCCTGAATGATTCCCCCCGCTGATTGGATGCCTCGACCCTAATCAGTAATCACGAGTTCTTCTGATTAGCTATTAAATCCCCACGCTTGCTCAGAATCTCCCAGAATGTGCTCTCAGAGACTGATTAAAACTTGCCCGAGTGCACGGGCTCTACCCCGGGGCTGCCCTGCCCCTCCCTCGCTGTTGTGTTTGGGTTTTGCTTTCTTTTCTTTACCAGCTCCTGGGCAGCGCCCTCCCTTCCTGGGTACTGGCTCCCCCTGACTGTTCCCAGAGGGCCTCGGGCCGGGCCCCATGTCCCACTGCTTGTTCAGATCAGGCTCCCTGCCTTGGTGCTCCAGCTACTGAGTCCCCAGGCCAGGCCCCAGGCCCCAGCCCAGGCGTGTTGCAGGCTCACCAGGGACTGGGGCGGAGCTGAGGGTAGAGTTTACACCTCATGTGCCTGGGGCCCCACAGGTAAGGGCAGCAGGAAATAAGGAAGAAGGACTCCGGAGCCTCTCATCACCCTAGAGCACAGGTAGGGGGAGCCGATTGTCCGTTTGAAAATCAGAGCAGGTAGGCGGCAGGCCCCGGTCCAATTCCCAGCACCTCTCAGGGTCCCCCGAGCAACCGCCAGGAGTCATTCCTGAGTGCAGAGCCAGGAGGAGACCCTGAGCATCGCCAGGTGTGACCCAAAACCAAACCAAAAATAAAAAAAAAAAACATGGAGCAGGCGAGACTCTCAGGAAGAGCGGGATTGACAGGGAATTGGAGGGGCCAGAGGAAGATGCCACGTGTGGGAGAAGAAAGCAAGGTTCCTCTCCCAGCCCTGCGGGGGCCATAGCCACGTGGCCACAGCAAGGGCAGAGACACGCCCTACGCCCCCCACCCCTGCCTCCTTCTGTGCGGGGTTGGGGCTAAGAAAGGGGGCCGCTGAGCACAGGAGCGCCTCACCTTCAGCACTGGGCGGCCCCACCTGCCCGCGACAGTGAACGGGTCCCAGAGCCACCAGCCCTGACGGGGAAAGGCAGGCGGCCAAGCCTGAGCATCTTCGTGAGAGAGTTCAGTCGCCCATGGCAGGGACCGGAAGCTCAGTGAGATCAAATGATTGTTGCCACCCCCCACCCAAAAAAAAGAAAATTTTTTTTCTTTGGTTTAGGGACCTGGAGAGATAGTGCAGGGGATGAGGTGCTTGCCTTCCGCCCAGCTGGCTTCCAAGTTTCGTCCCCACCAGTCACGATCCAAAAGCCCCACCCCCCCCCGCACCCCCCGAGAAAACTTACCTTGGGACCCAGGAGGTAGGATTGTGTCCCTGAGACTGGCAGGACACAGCAGGATCCAGCGTGTGACAAATCACAGCCTCACCAGATGCATCGCCGGGACCGCCTTGGGCTCCTGGCTCTGAGCGTCAGAGCTGCCGGAAGTGGGACCCGAGTGAAGAGCTGCAGGCAACCCCTGTGGTCAGTGCCACAGAGCAAGACCTCAGCGCTGGACACTGGGGAAGGGGCGGGGACTAGCAGGGGACAAGTGTGGACCTAGCGCCCTGTAAACCCTCAGCCCTGGAAGGCCCCTGGGAGGGGGATGGATGGAAAGGACACGGAGGCACAGCTATGGCCGGAAGCGGTTTCATAACGCAAAGGGCCTGAGGCTGCCCTTCCCTAGGGTGGGCAGGAGATACTGAAGGATTCAGGGGTGGCCGTCAGTCCTTCTGCTTCCTCCTGGACCCTGTTTCTGATTTCTTTGAAAGGTGATCGTGGAGAGGGCTGGAGCGATAGCACAGCGGGTAGGGCATTTGCCTTGCACGCGGTCGGCCCGGGTTCAATTTCCAGCATCCCATATGGTCCCCCGAGCACCACCAGGAGTGATTCCTGAGTGCAGAGCCAGGAGGAACCCCGGTGTATCACCAGGTGTGACCCAAAAAGCCAAAAAAAAAAAAAAAAAAAACTGGTCATGGAAAGAATGACCTCAGGGCCTGAGTGATAGTACAGCCTTGCCTTGCATACGGCCAACCCAGGTTCGCTTTGTGGCAAAAAAAAAAAAAAAAAAAACACTGCCACCCCCACCCCCAGCACCGCCAGGAGAGACCCCTGAGCACTGCCGGGTGTGTGGCCCCCGAAACAACAAACCAAAAATAAAAAGAAATAGAATCACCATAATGATGCCCTGGGTATATCTGCGTGTCCACACACACTGCTGTACACAAACGTGGGCCTAGTCCACTCGGAAGGGAACAGAGACGCCAACTTGAAAATGTAGAATCACTTTCGCAAGTGGCTCTAAGGCTTCCGGCCTGCCCCCCCCCCAGGAGGAGGAGGGGTCACAGGTCAGGCACAGGGGTCAGAGAGCAGCTGGGCAGCTCAGGGAAGGAAGAAGCCCAGGCTCAGGACAGCTCAGCGGCAACGCAACACCCCAGTGGGGCTGCGTACTCGGATTCCTGACGAGAGGACCAAGGGGCCCCGGCCACGGGAGAAGGTGCTCGCCGTCGGCTTGGGGGCAGATGCATATGGAGGACGCAGAGAAGCCATGGAAAACAGGGAGCGAAGGCCCAAGTGGCACATCACAGGGCCGGGCACATATCTCAAGGCAAGAGCCGGAATCCAGGCCCGGAAGAGACGACAGGCTCCCGTCCTTGGCTGCACCACTCACGAGCCATGGGAGCGGCACGCACGTGGGCGTGACAGTGCCACAGTCAGTGTCACAGAGAAGACGTGGTCACGCAGGGCCGAGTCCCTTAGTCGGGGATCTGGAGTGGCCCAACTCGCCGGCGGGAAACGGGAGACCCCCATTGCGGGAAGGGAGCGGGGGGCTGGGAGGGTCTTGGCACGGGCATAAATCCCCCTTAAACATGATGCTAGTCCCCACCCCTCCCAGCTCTGCCATGCCTCGTTGTGACCTAGAGCCCAGCGCACTGCTGTACACTTTAAACTGTTGTTAAGAAAATGGTGATTTCAAGTCTATTCTTACCACAATAAAATATATTTTTTTAAAAAAAAGGAAAAAAGAAACTTTAGAGTTGTGCTTTGTGACACTTTGATTCTTCATTTTGTTTGTGTTTCCTTTGGGCAGCCGCGGCCAGTGGTTGTTCAGGCCTTTACTCCTGGTTCTGTGTTCAGGGATCATTCCTGGCAGGGCTCAGGAATGGGATCTGGGCACGTGCCAGGCAAGCGCCTTACCCACTGAGCTATCTCTCCGGCCCCTGACAAGGTTCAAACCTGATTCTCTCCCTACCTGCTCACTGGCCCGGAACAAACCTGTGACCACACACACACACACACACACACACACACACACACACACACACCCCTGACGCTCTTCCCTTCCTACGTTCACTGTGAGGATTGGAGCGGGTAGCAGCACACCCCCAACTCCCCTTGCCTATTACCTGGGTGTGGTGGTCAGCACCAAAGGAGTGAAATATACCCACTCTCACGACACAGCCTCCACTAAGAAGCAGAGGCGCAAGGAAAGTCATGGGGAAAGTTGATTGTGGAGAGGAGGCTTTTTTTGTTTTGTTTGTTTTGGGGGCCATACCTGGCTGTGCTCAGGGGTCACTCCTGACGGTGCTCGGGGGGATCATACGGGATGCCGGAGATCCCAACCCAGGTTGGCCACATGCAAGGCAAACGCCCTCCCCATTGGACTGTCTCTGGCCCCAGAGATAAACCTTGACCCCCTCTTGAAGGCTGCAGTCAGTTGAGAGCCCCGGTTCCCTGCTTCCAGTGGCGCGGCCTCTGATTTTCTGCCGTGCTCTCTTCACATGGGAAGGGGCGGATTTCTGCCCTCCCCTGTTATAAGAGCATCGGGAGAGGCCCCGGTTGCCATGACAATGCCCAGTGCTAGCTTCACTTGTAACCGGCTGCCAAGAGCCGGGGACTCACTCTCACCTTGCTCCCCTCGCTCCCTTATGGCACTGAGGGTCTTTGATAATAGTCAGGAGTGAGCCCCCCCCCCCACCTCGAGCCCACTGAGCCAGTGACAGGCGTGACCAACATCCCCGTGTCTCGCCAACAGCTTTCCTCCATTTATTCTCACCTGCGTGGCCAGGTAGTACTCGGGGCTGTCCCCCAAATGCCCCTCCCAGCCAGTTCTCAGCTCTCCACAGAGTGGACCTGGGGCCACGCCGGCCGTCTCTCCAGGGCTAGCAGAGCCATCGGGGGTCTCGGGGGCAGGCACACGGCTGCTCCAGACAGAGGGCCAGGACCCACGGGATGAGGGAGGGGGCTCCCTCCACCCCTCACTCCCTGCAGGTGTGCAGCCAGGCGGGGTCCCCAGATCCTCACAGGCCACAGAGTCCAAGCCTGTCACCGTTGTAAGCCTCGAGAAAGCCACCATGGGTGATACAATCTCACCAACATCACCTGGCCCGTTGTAAGTTCAGCGGGCCCCCCAGAGGGCAGACTGTATGTACTTGGCTCGGACTGTATGTCTCCGAGGCTTGTCCCCCAACTCCCATCTCTGAGCAGAAATCTGGGCAGAAGAGCTCTGAGTAAACTCAGGCTGAGTTTTATGGCAGCTCGTGTCAAAGGTAGCGCAGGCAGCGTGTGGCCGTTTGTGTTTAATCCACACATTTTCTTGGCTCTGGGAGATAAGGCATCCAGGGTTCCCTGGGCCTGGCCTGCACAGGTGGGGTGCCCTGGCTACAGAGATTTCTTTCTGACTGTCTGGATTCAGTGCCCAGGAGATCCCATTTCAATGTCTCTGCCAGGCTCTAAGAGACCTTCCCCCTCGCTTTTTTCCCCCCAGTTTTTCTTTTTTTTTTTCTTTTTGGGTCACACCCCGCGATGCTCAGGGGTTACTCCTGGCTCATGCACTCAGGAATTACTCCTGGCGGTGCTCAGGGGACCCTATGGGATGCTGGGAATCGAGCCTGGGTCAGCCGCGTGCAAGTCAAACACCCTCCCCGCTGTGCTATCGCTCCAGCTCTTTTCCTACTTTTTTATTTGGGGACCATACCTCAAGGAGCTGGGGGGTGGGGGTGGGATACTCCCTCTGATGGTGGGGCTCAAACTCAGGACCAGCCCGCAGAGACTCCAGCCCTTTGCGCCATCTCCCCAGCTCCAAGAGACTCGTTCGATGCCTGTCTCCCTTGTGATGCTGTAGCCCCTGGGGCTGCCAGCATGTTTGGGGTCTCCTCCGGCCCCCCCGCCCCCTGTTCCCTTCTAGTTGATGGGCAGCAGATGCAGGGACACATTTGAGAGGTCCCTCTGTCCGCACAGAGCGTGCAGCGGCCACATGACACGTGTGCTTCATGCCAAGAAAACCCGCATGTTTCTGGTATGTGGCGTGCCCAGCCGGGCCCTGAGGGGTAGAGATGGTAGGAAGCCCATGTCCCTGTCGGCACTAGCTCCCTCTCCGTCCTCAGGGGCGCCTCTCCCCACCTCCCACACACCCACAGAAAGCAGCACAGGGGGCCTCGCTTCACACAGCCCCTTTGCACCTCCTGCCACTCGGGGTCTCTTCTCCCCCACGTTTTTAGCTCAGGGACCAGAGTATCAGAGTCTCCACAGGTTAGCATGGGTCTGCTCTCCCCAGACCCCCGAGGTCTCATTTGCTCTTTGTTTCCTATGTTTGAATTTTTTTTTAAATTGAACCTTGCTCCTTTGCTCGTTTCAAGTATGCAGTTCAGTGCCTCACAATCAGGGGCATTTACAATTCATTGTATCACTGTCATCCTGTTCGTTGATTGCCTCGAGCAGGCCCCAGTGAAGTCTCCTTCATCCTAGCCCTGAGATTTTAAAAAGTGCGACATTCGAGGCGCTTTCAGGGTCAGGAGAATGAGACCCACATTGTTACTGTTTTTTGGCATATTGAATACACCATGGGGTGTTTACAATTTAAAAAAAAAAGTGCAACAAGTAATGTATTTGCCTTGCACATGGCCGGCCTGGGTTCAAACCCTGGCTCCCTGTATGGTCCTTTGAGCTGTGCCAAGAGTGATTTTTCCAGGCTGGAGCGAAAGTACAGCAGGAAGGGCATTTGCCTTGCACGGCATCCCATATGGTCCCCTGAGCACTGCCAGGAGTAATCCTGAGCACAAAGCTAGGAGTAATCCCTGTGCATCACCAGGTATGACCCAAAAAGCAAAAAAAAAAAAAAAAAAAAAAGTGATTTTCCAAGAGTATAACTAGACATAGGCCCTTGGGATTGCTGGGTGTAGTCCCGAGACAAGATCAGAGAAAAATCCTGCCGGTGTTAAGGGTGTGATTCAGTCACAGGTGGTGTCTGTTGGCCACATCTGATCCAAGCCTCACAGCCCTCCCGGCAACTCTTGGCCACTTCCTGTCCGCGCCTTTGCCCATCCAGACCCCTCGGCGGGAGTGGAATCGGCAGTGGCGTTGGCTTTCGAGTCTGGCTCCTTACATGCGGCCAGACACCTCCCAGGTACAGTGACACTCTGCTGAGCGGACAAGGCGCGCACTGCCTGCCCGCTCGCCCGTGGATGGCACCTTCTGGCTCTTGCCAGACTCCTGCTGCAGTGGGCACGGGTCCCTGCTGTGCACCCACGCACACACCAGGAGGGGCGTTCCCGGGTCCTCCGGCAACTCTCTGTCTCCTGGCAACTTCCTGCATTTATCCGGTTCTGCGTGGTAAATGGGCCACCACCGTGGTAAATCATTCACCAGAATCATATTTGGGTGGAGTCCATGCCCAGTTCAATCAGCTTAATCAATGGCTGAATAAATAGCAGTACCCCTACATTAAAAATAAATAAATAAAAATAAGATTAAAAAAATTGGGGGGGGGAGCTGGAGTGATAGCACAGTGGGTAGGGCGTTTGCCTTGCACTCTGCCGACCAGGGTTCAATTCCCGGCATCCCATGTGGTCCCCTGAGCACCGCCAGGAGTGATTCCTGAGTGCAGAGCCGGGAGTAGCCCCTGTGCATTGCCAGGTGTGACCCAAAAAGCAAAAATAATAATAATTTTTTTAATTGTATTTGGTCAGAGTTAAGAGGCGGGGCTGGAGAGGAGTGCAGGGGCCGTGTGCAGGCTTTGCCGGCCAGCCAGGTTCCTGGGTTCTAGGCTTGGCACTGCATGTTCCTCTTAGCACCACTAGGAGTGGCCCCAAAACCCATTTGTCAACCCCCACCCCAAAAAAAATGTTCACCTGCAGGCGGGAGAGATAGTGCAGGGTCAGGGCGTTTGCCTTGCGTCAACCAAACGTTGCTTCACGCCCTGGAGCGACAGCCAGTTGCCTGAGCAGCCACCAGGAGTGAGCCCTGAGCACCACTGGATGCGGCCCAAAAAGCAAAACAGCAACAAAAAAGTTTCAGATGGAGAGCGGGCGCCAAGTCCCTGCCTCCATACGCCCCGTCCCTGGGCTTTGTTGCTGTTGTCACCTGCTTGGGGCACGGCTCGGGACTCCGCTGCCTTGCTGGTGGTTCCCAAGGCTTCTATTCTTGAGATCATCGTGTCCTCGCAGTTCCTCGTCCCGCAGGGCAGAGGCAGGCAGCGTCTCCGGGTCTCTGCTGGGGGGAGTCCCCCGCCCCCGTCACCCATCTCCAGCCTCTGACGCACAGGATTCCCTGACGGAGACCCTGCATTCGTCGCCTGGCCCTCCCAGAAGCCTTTCGACTTCTGGAGGTTTGGGGGCTGGCCCATGTCCCCCCTGCCCACAAGGGAGGGTCACACAGGGCAGTTCCGGCACCAGAGCTCCAGGCCCTGCTGCCCCGCGTTTCAGAGGCGGTGACTCGCAGAGCTCCAAGGCCACTGCCCGGCCATGCCACCAGCACATGCTGCAGTGGATGGAGGCTGCGGGCAGTGCCCTGACCCGGAGCAGACGGAGTGCAGTCTGGGCAGCTGCCCGTGAGCCTTTGGCTACCGGCCCCACAGCCCGTCACAGGTTCACGGCACTGCCTCCCCCCAAACACACACACACCATACACACACATGCACACACACGCACGCACACTCCCCTCTGGCCTCCCAGGCTGCTCCCTGGATCTTGAGTTGCCCCCTGGCAGCGGCCCACCCTCCCACCCCATGCCCCCCCTGCAGGGTGGCAGAGATGAGCCCAGGGAAGAGTCCAGCCCCTGGCCGCCTGGCTGGTGACCTTGGCCCTGGGGCCTGTCAATACCCGCCACTTCCCCAAGCAAATGGGCCGGGAACTGGCCAGCTTCCTTGGACAATCGATGCTTCTCCAAAATAGATGATGAAGGGACAAAAATAGGCGGACATCCGCTTCTCAGACCTTCCCAGGGAGCCGCCAGCTCGGTGACGGTCATTGTCCCAGCAGCTCTTCACAACTGAGACAGAGCCCCCCCCCCCCCCCCCCCCCGCTCCCGCGAACCAGGCCCTCCCCATCCCTCCCTTGAGCTAGTTGACTGTCCTCTCCAAAACCTCCCCCGGACCATGCCCCAGAGGCAGTCAACTAGCTCAAGAGAGGGCTGGGGACAGCCTGGCCACAGAGTTCCAGGCAGGAGCCCCTGGGGTTCACCCTCCCAACTCCTCCCAGCAGAGACGATGAGGGTGTCTGAGGCACATCCGCACCCAGCTACGGGGCTCTGATAGGACCACGCTGCTTCCTGCTAGGTGCCTCAACTTCCCCAGGCCACATCACCCACCCACCCAGACTCTGCCGCTCCTGCTGTCCCGCTGGGCGAGGGGCCGGGGTCTCACTCCAGCCCCTCGCCTGTCGCCTTCACCTGCCTGCCCTCCCTGGACCTCCAAGTGCTGGGGTGGGACCGGTCAGGAGGGGGGGCGGCCTCTGATACCCCCTTTGTCCCCGGCAGCACCGTCTCCAAGCAGAGGAAGAACGTCATCAGCTGCGTCACGGTGCACGACTCCCCCCACTCCGAGTCGTCCAGCGCCACCAGCCCCTACTCGGCGCAGCACCGCGCCGGGCACCATGCCAGCGCCCTGGACACCAAGGGGAGCCTGGAGGAGCACCGCTCGGGGAACCCCCGCACCATCATCGTGCCACCCCTGAAAACCCAGGCCAGCGAAGTGCTGGTGGAGTGTGACAGCCTGGGGCCAGGTGAGCAGGGCAGTGCGTGGTCCGGTGGCTAGGGGGGAGGGGGGAGGAGGCTGGGCCTGGGCCCCCATCCCCGCCACCCTGCACAGCTCCCCCGGCACTGCCAGGCATGGTCCAAACCAAGAAAACAACCATCTCCCTGTCATCACTTGCACCCTGTAGGCGGCGTGGCCATGTGTGGGTGTCACCCGGGAAGCACCCCGTAGGCATTGTTGGCATGTGTGGGTGTCACCCAGGATGCACCCCATAGGTGGCGTTGGCATGTGTGGGTGTCACCTACAATGCACCCTGTAGGCGGTGTTGGCGTGTGTGGATGTGACCATGATGCCTGCTGTCTCCACACCCCTCTGCCCTTGCTCAGTTGAGAGTAAAAGTTACTTCTTCGTGCGGTGGCCCAGGGGGACAGCTGGTTGGGGGGGACGGGGTCTCTGCCAGCGTCTGCGCACTTGCAAGCGAGGCTCCCCCATGTGGGAAGAGCCTTGTGGACTCTGGGCAAGATGGTTCCTCCCGCGTTGCACAGCCCTGGGCATCTTGCCGGCTCCTCCCTGTCTTTATGTACCTGATCGATCCCAGCACCAGGCCCATGAATCCTCGAACAGCCCGTCCACCCCGAGCCTCCTCAGGACTCACCCATCTATTTTGTCACATCTGTTCTTCACCTCTCTCACTTATACCCACCAGTGGAAGAATCTAGAAGAATCTCAACCCCAGCCCTTAGCAACACGTGATCAGGGTCACTTGTTATTGGGGGGCAGAGGGGCGGGATTTGTTTCTGAGCACAGTGCTCCGGGCTGACCTGGCTCTGCACTCAGGAATCATGCCTGGCGGTGTTTAGGGTGGGGGAGGACCCTGTGGGATGCCAGGGATCGAACCCGGGTCAGCTGTGTGCAAAACAAGCATACTGCCCACTGTACTATCACCCCAGCCCCTCGGGTCACTCTTTTGAACAAAGGGGATCCAAATTGGCTGAAAGGTTTACATTTACATGACGCTGGGCTTTTGGGGTAAGGTGTCCCCAGGGGAGATTGTAGAAACTTCAGAGGGGAGGTGTGCCTGGACAGTCCACCAGCCGGTACACTCTGCTGGGTCCCAGGACTGGGATGGGGGGGTGATTTCCCACTCCTAAGAGCCATCTCCCCACAGGAAGCGTGTGTTTGTGTGTATGCACTTGTATGTGTGTGTGCATGTGTGTAAATATGTGTGTGCATATGTGTGTGCATGTGTGTAAATGTGCATGTGTGTGTGTACCTGCGATGTGCTTGTCTGTGCACATGCATGCGTGTGCATGTGTGTGCTTGCGTGTGTGCGTGTATGTGCGTATGTGTCTTAGCCCAGCAGGAAGCCACACTGCCCCACTAGCCCACACAGATCGTCATGGTGACTGTGGCCTTGGAAGTCGGCTCTCTCTCGGCCCTTCCGCGGCCCTTGGGGGGGGGGGGGCTGAGAAGCTCTGGGTCAGTTATCAGGGCTCCCCAGGGGCCGCACGTGGCCCCACAGTCTGGCAGGGTTTGGCCCCCAGGCCATGGCCTGTGTGTATGTGTGTGTGTGTGTGTGTGTGTGTGTGTGTGTGTTGCTGGGGAACAGTGTGGGCAGCGGGACCTTCCGAGAAGCCCACGGTGGGAGGAGGGGGGCCGGCAGCCCAGCCCCCCAGCCTGATTTGCGGCTTCTCCTGCCCACAGTCAGCACCAGTCACCACCCGCCCTCCTACAAGCCCAAGTCCTCCAGCAACGTGACCTCCACCAGCGGTCACTCTTCAGGGAGCTCGTCCGGAGCCGTCGCCTACCGGCAGCAGCGGCCGGGCCCACATTTCCAGCAGCAGCAGCCGCTCAATCTCAGCCAGGTACGGCGGGTGCCCACCCTCTGCCCGCTGCCCTGCTGGCTCCGCCCCAACCCTGCACGCCCCACCCTCTTCTGCTTGCTCCGCCCCCAACCCTGCATGCCCCGCCCTCTGTCCTGCTTGCCCCGCCCCTACCCTACATGCCCCGCCCTCTATCCTGCTTGCTCCTCCCCCAACCCTGAAGCCCCGCCCCTACCCTACATGACTCGCCCCCAACTCCACACGCCCCACTCCCAACTCTGCAGCAATGTCCTTACCCCTACAGGCCCCGCCCTCTATCCCTTTTTTCTTGCTTCTCCCCCGCACTCCGCCTGGTCTGCCCTCTACCCCGCACCCCACCCCCATGGGGTGGCAAGAGAAGCCTTGTGTAGCATCAGCACAGGGTGACCCCTGAGACCAAGATTCAGCACAGACAACCGGAGCCAGGCCCCCAAACCCCCAGCCAGTGGGTTGAGTGGGCAAAGGAAGCCCATATACCAGAGGTTCCTGCTCAGCCCCGAGAGGGCGGCTGTGCCAGGAGCTTGGGTCACGGGCCTCTCCCCTGGGTACTGCACCTGGGCCATCTGTCCACAAGAGAGGACCCCCACTGTCCACCCCACATCTGGGCCCAGAAATCCGACTCTCAGGAGGAGGGAGGAAGTGCCCCAGCTGCCGTTGGGCATCCCTGGGAAACGCAGCTTCCCCTGGGGACTTTGCCCGGACTAGGGGGGCCTCCCTCCTCCTCCTCCTCCTCCTCCTCCTCCTCCTCCTCCTCCTCCTCCTCCCTCCTCCTCCTTTCTCTGCCCCCTCCCCTCCTTCCTTCCTACTTCCTCCCTCCTCCTCCTCCTCCTCCTCCTCTTCCTCCTCCTCTCCCTGCTTCTCCTCCTCTTCTTCCCCTCCTCCTCCTGCTCCTCCTCTTCCTCCTCCTCCCCCTCTCCCTGCTTCTCCTCCCCCTCTCCCTGCTTCTCCTCCTCTTCCTCCTCCTCCTCTTCCTCCTCTTTCTCCTCATCTTCCTCTTCTCCTCCTCCTTTCTCTGCCCCCTCCCCTCCTTCCTTCCTACTTCCTCTCCCTCCTACTTCCTCCTCCTCTTCTCCTCCTCCTCCTCCTCCTACTCCTCCTTTCTCTACCCCTTCCCCTCCTTCCTTCCTACTTCCTCTCCCTCCTCCTCCTCCCCCGCACCCCCATCCCTCTCCATCCCCCCTCATCCCCCCCCCCAGCCTCTCCCTGGTCTGCAGCCCCGCCCCCTGCTTTCTCCCACAGGCGCAGCCGCACGTGGCCGGGGACCGCGCGGGGAGCCACCGCCGCCAGCAGGCCTACATCGCGCCCACCATGGCGCAGGCCCCCTACTCCTTCCCGCACAACAGCCCCAGCCACGGCACGGTGCACCCGCACCTGGCCGCCGCCGCCCACCTCCCCGCCCAGCCCCACCTCTACACGTACACGGCGCCCGCCGCGCTGGGCTCCAGCGGCACCGTGGCCCACCTGGTGGGCTCGCAGGGCTCGGCGCGCCACCCGGTGCAGCACCCCGCCTACCCCGCGGGCATCGTGCACCAGGTGCCGGTGAGCATGGGGCCCCGCGTCCTGCCCTCGCCCACCATCCACCCCGCCCAGTACCCAGCCCAGTTCGCCCACCAGACCTACATCAGCGCCTCGCCGGCCTCCACCGTCTACACTGGATACCCGCTGAGCCCCGCCAAGGTCAACCAGTACCCTTACCTATGAATACTGCGGGGGGCGGCCGAGGGGCCCCGGGAGGGGGGCTGACTGAGGGGGCCTGGGCTTTTTATACTGAAGATGCGCACACAAACAATGCAAACAAGGCCGGGCCGGCACCACAAAACTTGAACTAGGAGGCGGAAAGACTTAGTACCCGCAGGAGGACATTTTAAAGAGGAAGGGGGATGGGGGTGGGGTGGGGGGAATCTATGCTTTTTATTTTAAAAAAAAAGAAAAAGAAAAAAAAAAGGAAAAAAATCGTCCATAACAACAACAACAAAAAAACCCACAGTTCATCCACCCATTCGGCTCTGCAGAGGAGGAGGCGGGAAGATTCCAGAAGGGGGTTGGGGTGGGGAGCAGGGGGGGGGAGGGCCGTTTTCGAAAAACTTTTATCTATGAACTTTTCAAAGAGTATTTTCCTACGGCAGTGGGGGGCTTTACCCCGCAGAGCCCCGGGGGGCTGCCGCAGTGAGAACCCGCTAGGTTTGTAGTCGTGACCCTACCCCGGGATTTCTCCAAAGCTGGGACTGACCGGCTGCCCCTGGGGTGGGTTGGAGGAAGGGCCCGGGGTCTGGGGTGACCGAGGTCCCGCTCGGCCACCGGCAGGCGCCCCCCCAGGAACGGGCACCTCGCTTTCTGAGTTCTCTGGATAAATCTCTCGGCGATGTTGATCCTCAGATGTCATTAATAACGTGCGTTGCAAACTTTGGTTGATAGATTCCCCCTCTCCTTCCCCAAGATGGCTTTTCTCTTGGAACCAATCCTTAGTCCAGTAGCATAGGGGAGCGGCCGTGGGGACACCCCGGGACCGGGTCACACTCCGCCACCCCACCTCCCCCCCCTTTGTCTTCAGCGCCAATGATACCAATAGAACCTTCCTCGATGGAATTGCACAAACTGAAGAGCCCACAGGTGACGGGATCCCAGGCTGTAGCCGCCGGTGGGGGGTCCCGGGTGTCACCCAGGCCCGGGCCCCCCACCCTCCTAGTGCCTTACGGACGCCGCCTCGGGCCGGGGCTCGGTCCCACGGTCACTCCCACGGTACTCCACGGAGCCCGGGCTCCCCGCTGTGCTGCCCAGAGTCTCCCTCTCGGGCGGGCTCGCCTGCCGTCTCTTCTTCCTTTTCTCTTTTAAGTTATTTTGATTTGAAACCCCACCCCCATTGTTGTTCTTGGGCCATTGGCTGGCAGAAGGGTGGCAGGGTGCTGACCGCTGCCAGAGAGCACCCCCTCCTGGGTATTGCGATGTTGGGGGGCAATGGCGAGGAGCCAGGGGGCCTTGAGGACTCGCTTGGTTGACTCTGACTTCGGGGACAGAGCGCCCCTTTCCGCCCTCCCCCGCCCCCTCCCCCCACCCCCTGCGCTGCCGTTTGTGGGACCAGAGGTCAGGTCTTGCTGCGTTGCCTGGCGGCTGCCCCAGCCACCAGAACAGAAGGGACAAGGGGACGGTGGGGACCTGGTCCCTTGCCAGGGGCTCCCCAAGCCCCCTGTTCTCAGCCTCTAGACATACCCAGCCGCCCCTAGCCGCCAGCCCCCCCAGCCCCCCAGATCCTTCCCCCCCCAAGACAAGTGTCCATCTTGGTTTGCTGCTGAATTCTCCCCCCCCCCCACTTCCCATGATGCGGTTGGGTTTGGACTTTTGAAGGGCCCTGGGGCAGGGGGAGGGGGCAGGTGGCTGGAGCCCCCCCCCCTCGTTCCTCCCCTCCTCCCCCCAAATGGTCTCTCACACTGCACTTTGGAAAAACGCTTCTTCGGACAGTGACATTTCCAAAGAAATGTGCCCTTTGCCCTCTTTGCACCTTTGAACCTTCTAGAACCTTCCTCACACCTGAAACCCTAGGAGGGACGAGGGTCTCTTGGACGACAGCAGATGACTCCGGAACACCCGACATCTTCTGGGGGCATCTGTCCCATCGCGTGTGGGGCGTGAAAAGGAGGCCCAAGTGGCTTGGTTCTCTAGGCCGACTGGAGACCCCTGCCCCCCTCCCAGCCAGACCTCCCAGGTGCAAAGAGATGGGCTCCCCCCCAGTTTCAGTGCCCCCCCCCACCCTCCTCCACTCCTTCCCTTAACGATCTACTGTGAAAGCGTCGGCTGCCACTGGCGGGCCCAGAGCGCTCCCTTAGCTAATCTCAGCTGTGAAATGTGAAACTCCCACCTCGCCACAACTTCCGCTTCTCAGAGTCCCCCCCAGACTGGAACCGGCTCAGTCCAGGCCTCGGGCTGGAAGGAAGGACACAGGACTGCTCAGTCCCCCACCCCAGGACCACCCAGCCCCCAGCAGCTGCCCCTGCCCTGGACCCGGGGTGGCCAGGTGGCAGGGGTCCCGTGGCCCCACCCCCAGGTGACCTGCTCAGGCCCCGGGGGCGAAGTCCAGGCTGCCGCTGAGCCTCCATTTGCCTTACTGGGAGCAGCCTGGACCCCCCCCCCCCGAGCGCCGTCTCTCGCCCTGACCTCGTAGGGGAAAGGACAGCATTGCCTTCCATTCCAGAACATTCATCTGCTTTGGCTGGAAGTGTCTTACTCTCTGCCCTGACATTTTCTTTCCTTTTTCTTCCACGTCAGGAATGAACGTTCCTTGCTGCTCATAAAGATAATATTATTGTACTAATTATTATTTTTATTATTACCGTTGTAATTACTCTCACATCATCGTGTGGCTCTTTTAGTTGGGGTTTTGAATGCACGTTTATTCCCAGTACCTTTGTGTTGTTTTTTTTTCTCTCTTTAATATTTAAACTTATTTGATCTGTGAGTACATGAGTAGACTGGTACCCGGCTTTGCTCGACCAACCCAGGCAAGCCCCAGGAATTAGGAAAGCGGGTTCTGACCCCGCTGGTCCCCCAGGAGCTGGTAACCCCTATCCGCCCCGGCCCCCCACACCCCTTCCCCCAAGAACAAAGATTTGAAGCAGCAGCTTCGAGGCCTTTTTTATACCACAGACCAGAACGAGCTCTTGACGATACCGTGGCCGTTTTGGGGGGGAGGGCGGCTGGACTCGGCCGTGGTCATGGTCCTCTCTCACACCCCTCCATCTTCCCGCCAGCAAGACGCTCAGTCCCCGCCGAGCCCCTGGAGATCTGTATGGATGTCAGGGCTCCTTCCCCCAGGAACCCTTCCTCCTCTTCCTCTTCTTCCTCCTCCTCGCCCTCCTCCCCTTCCTCCTCTTCCTCCTCCTCCCCCTCCTCCTCCCCTTCTTTTTCACTGCACCCCTTCCTTTCATCTCCTCATCCTCAGCACCCAACTCTCGGGCCAAACTAGGAAGCCAAAAACCAAAATTTTTCAGGGGCTGGTAGGAGGCCGGGCAAGCTCCTCAGAGCTGGATGACCCCACCCCCATCCCGAGCCAAAACACAGAGTGTGTAGGCTGCCCCCCGCCCCCCCAATCCAGAACTTCCTCAGTCCCGGGGCCTGAAGAATGGGTGAATGAAACGCTTTGCTGATCCAGGCAGTGCGAGGAGGGTTGCACTGCGCCAGGCTGAGAGCAGACCCGACCCCCCAGGACCCAGTGGGCAAGCAGAAGCCCCCCACAAGCAGAAGCAACCAGCCTTGGGGGAGTGCAGGTCTGCAGTGCCCTGACCCCCGACACCCCCAGACGGGCTGAGAGTCCCCATCCCCCCCTCCAGTCCTTCCCCAGGGCAGTGTCTTCTACCCAGCGCCATCCCTCCTGGTGGCAGAGGACGTGAGGGACAGGAGGAGGGGTGAGAAGCAGGACCTGGCTTTCGGGGACTTCTGGCTCCCGGCTTCCCAGGGTCACCTGCGCCCCCCTGTCTCTCTGGGGCACCCCCCCCCCAGGGAGGAGAGAGCTGGCGGTGAGTGGGAGCATAAGGTGGGTACCAGTGACCGCCGCGGAGAGAAGCCAGCAGCAGGTACAGAGCAGAGGCAGGGGACAGAGCCCCACAGGTGACCCCCCTCCCTCCGGACTGTACCTGCTGTCAGGCCTGGCTGGCTGGGGGCCGCGTGGGGCCCCGTTTGTGAGCGAGCTCGTGGTGGAGGCTTCGGTGTGTGAGTGCGTGCGAGAGGGGAGCTGACTTTCTTGGCGAGTGGGAAGGAGGAGACGGAGGCTGGACGGACGGTTATGGAGGGACCATGTCGATGGGACCAGGTGCATCCTGGCATCTTGCTGCTGGGCTGGGGGCGGCGGGCGGGGGCAGACGACAGGGTTCCTGCCCGCCCGAGGCCCCCCGAGTGAGCAGAGATTGCAGAGAGCTGAGCGCGCGAGGGACCGGCCACCGGCCATCCCAGGAACCTGGGGCTTGGCATGTGTCTCCCCAGTTTGGGGGAGGAGATTCTGGTGACTTGTCTTAACAGATTCCCAGTGGGGAAGCTTCACCTTTGAGCAGGCCAGAGCGGTCCTCACCGAGTGGGAAAGAGGGATGCGGGGGTGGGGGGTGGGATGCAAGCCATCCCCTTCTTTAGCCAAAGAGCCCTCGCCAGACACAGCCCCCTGCCCGCCCACCTGCCCCCTGCCGGCCCTTGCCTGAATTGCTCTGTTGATTTCTTTTCCTCCCCTGCCTTGTTCCCGAAATTTCTGCTTCTTGCTTCTCTCGAGATGAGGTGATGCTGCTGTGGTTTGGCCTGCACTGGTGGGCGGCCCTTGTCTGTTCCGTGGGACATGCCCCCCACACACACACCCAAAACAGACCTGCCAGGAAGCTCTGCTGTGTCGGGGGATTGGGTGCTTGGGTTGAGCTTGCTGGACACAGCACACCTCCACTTGGACACCTCTGGGGACCTCCCTGCTTCTCATCACAAAGGAAACTCGGCCAAATCTCTGTGGACGCCTGGGGTCCCCGTAGTCCTCGGGGTGAGGCACCCAGGAGGGGTCTGGTTGCAGCTGTCTGGAATTCGGGGTGCTGGTCCCAGAGGCACCCTTCCTTCCCTTGAAAGTGGGTAGAGAAGAGGCCAGCCCTTCTGCAAGGGCACATTTCTTCAGAAGTGGGGGGGGGGTGCCCTGATAACGCATACACACACACAACTCCCACAAGCCTTTGCGAGCCCCTCACCTCAGCC